ACTCTAATCATTATTACACTTATGTAATAAGACAAAACATTAATAAATATTATTAAATTTGTCTTAATGTATTATGTGTGTGTTCCGAATATTCAATTTTGATTAATATACATTTAATATTGCAAATATATCATCTTATTAGTATTAAGGAATAATACGAAAACGAAAATAAGAAATTTAGGTCTAATTCAATTTTTTAATCTTTCAAGCCAGTTTAAATTTGTTTGATTAAAATAGTTTCTAAAATAAAGTTAGGAGAATAAGACCCTATTCACTTCACCTAATTTTTGCTAAACTGAAATTATGTTTAATGAATTAAATTATTTTTACTGAAATTATTTTTACTAAATTGAAATTATTTTTATTGAACCAAAATTAATTTTGCTAAATTAAACTTATTTTTACTTAATTAAAATTATTTTTACTAAATCTTATTTTTGTAAAGTGAAATGAACCAGGCCTAAGCACAAGTGATTTTTTTTATAACCTCTACGGCTCTACCCAAATCCCAAAAAAATAAAAATCATTAGGTGAACTACACAATTCTAGATTACTTCATTTTTCAGACTCACTATTAAGGTATTCCATCAAATCACTACAGATGTTGGATCAAAATAAGGTACTTTGAAGTCAAACTGTCTTCATAAAATGATGAAAACATGTAAATACATATTCATCAATAGATAAGAGCTCTAATTTGTTAAGAATCTGATAATAGAGACCTTTTTTATTTTTTTTGACAGAAGAAAGGTTGTGTGGTTATGATATTGGAACTCTAAAGAAACACACATAAACACACACCACTCATTTCAAGCAAACACAACAAACATCCAAATTCATACTCACCATTATCCACCAAACATGACTTTAATTCCAATTTGCTTTGATGCCCACTTTCTCTCTCATCTCACAATCACCTTCAGATTCCATGGCTAAGAGCTTAACTGTATAGTATTGTTCATTTCTTCTAGATTCTCATTTCTTCTCATCCACTTCTTCCAACCATTTTCATTCCACTCGCGCTATCTCTCTCTCCGGTTGATCAGCCATGACTTCCTCCTGCCTCTTATCTTCAACCCGAAACACGGCTGCTGCTACTGCTTCCTACCTTCCTAAGCATCACTATAATTACTTAAACAAAGACAATAGAGATTGTCTTCTTTTTAAGCTTCAACTACCACCACTCAAATCAGGTTCTCATCCTATATTGAGGTTAAGGACTTCAAGATTTAACTACCCTCTCGCTTCTCTGTCTTCCTTTGCTGATGCAGGGGACCAAGAACATGAAGAAGTTATTGGCAATCATCAACAGATTAAGGCTGATGATGAAGAGGCGGCGAAAACGGATGAGTTATCTGGAATGGCTAAGGCTTTTCACATATCATCCAGAACAGCGATTGCTATATCAGTATGCATTGCTTGTGCTGCTCTGATTTTCCCCTTGTTTATGCAGTCCCTTGGTCAAGGGATGCCGCTTAAGACTAAGGTGCTTTCATATGTTACCTTGCTTTTTGGGTTCTACATGGCCTGGAACATTGGCGCGAATGATGTTGCCAATGCAATGGGGACATCTGTTGGCTCAGGTGCTCTGACGATACGACAGGCTGTTGTAACTGCTGCTATTTTGGAGTTTTCCGGGGCGCTCTTGATGGGTACTCATGTTACAAGCACAATGCAGAAGGGGATTCTTGTTGCTAATGTGTTTCAGGGGAAGGACTCCTTGCTTTTTGCAGGACTTCTTTCTTGCCTTGCAGCTGCTGGAACTTGGTTACAGGTAAATGTCCGAGGTTCCTGCTCTGGTTTATCAGTATAGTTTATCATATAATAGGGCATATATGAATTCCAAATAGAAGCAAATAACAAGAATATAATTATGATTTTCTGCTCGAATTTGTAAAACATAGAAAAGGTACAAATCACAATACACAGGAATGAAGTATTGTATTAATGTGTCTTTAATTTCTGGTGAAATTCGAATGTGGCCTCTTCTTTAAAGGTCTCAAGGTAAAAAATGCAAATTATTTGAACAAAACTAGCAAAAAGATAGAACCTGAAGAATGCATAGAACTTCAAATAATCAAATTTCAATTCCTGAGCTGTGCAAACTGTATTTTCATAAAGTTCTTTAAATTATAATAAGAATCAATCTGTAATATACAAGCTGAGAAACTGTTAAAAATTTAGATCACACGGAATAAATCAGACAGGACATGGCAAAGAGAGTAAACATGTTAGTGCCTCTACAGCCGACAAGCCTTGCACAGTTGTGCTTAAGGTTACCATAAACCATAGGATGCAACATGCAATCATCGTTTCCCCTTTCACTCAATTTGCAGGAATTAGCAATGTTTTGAACATAACCACTAGAACACAAAAGTAAGAAATGAACATCAGACTAACAGAATGCAGACATGCAGCATATGTGCTCAGCATTGACAATTTATATTGTGCTCCACAGGTGGCCTCCTATTATGGCTGGCCAGTTTCAACAACTCATTGCATAGTAGGATCCATGGTTGGGTTTGGACTTGTCTATGGAGGAGCTAATGCCGTCTTCTGGAGCTCACTGGCAAAGGTTGCTTCGTCTTGGATTTTTTCACCCGTACTAGGTGCAGCCATGTCATTTCTCGTGTACAAATGTATCCGCAGAGTATGTATATGTTTCATGAAACTTCAGCTGATGATTTCTAGTCATAAGTTCCACTTAATTCATGATTATCTTCTTGGGAATTTTGCCTATAGCTTATGAGATCAATTTTTTTTTTTTTTTATATATAAAAAAAATAGTCATAAAATTGTCACTTAATTTAGAAACTTCAATTGATACAGAATTCAGAAGATCTAACTGGCATACCTTTTCTAGTTCGTTTACAGTGCTGAGAATCCAGGACAGGCTGCTGCTGCATCTGCACCAATAGCAGTTTTCATGGGTGTAACTGGAATATCATTTGTAGCCTTCCCTCTAAGCAAGACCCTTCCCCTGGCTATAGTCCAGGCATTGGCTTGTGGAGCTGTTGGAGCAGTTATTGTTTATCGAGTGATCAACATACAGTTAGGCCATCTACTTGCCAAATCCAACTCATCAACGGAAACCCAACACAAAGATGACCATCATCCTGATCATCACGAACAGAAGAACATTGGGCTGCTTTCTGATATTGCCGGCCCTAAAGGAACCCAACTGGAGATAGTGTATGGTGTGTTTGGATATATGCAGGTCCTTTCAGCGTGCTTCATGTCATTTGCTCATGGTGGAAACGATGTCTCTAATGCTATTGGTCCCTTAGCAGCAGCTTTATCTCTGCTGCAAGGAGGGGCTGCTGCAGGAGCTGCGATTCATATCCCAACAGATGTTCTTGCATGGGGAGGGTTTGGGATTGTAGCAGGTCTTACAATGTGGGGATACAGAGTGATATCAACCATTGGAAAGAAGATCACTGAACTTACACCAACAAGAGGGTTTGCCGCAGAGTTTGCAGCTGCATCGGTGGTTCTCTTTGCATCAAAGCTAGGGTTACCTATATCAGCAACTCATACGTTAGTGGGTGCTGTAATGGGAGTAGGGTTTGCCCGAGGGCTAAATAGTGTCAGAGCAGAGACAGTAAGGGAGATTGTCACTTCTTGGGCAGTAACAATTCCTGTTGGTGGAATGCTAGCAGTTTTATACACAGCAATCTTGACCAAGGGTTTATCGTTTGTATTATGAACATGATTCAACTATAACTTAGAACATTGTTACATCAGATTAAAATTGAGTGAATTTTGATTTTGTATGTGAGAACAGAATGTTTCTCCGACCGGTTATTTCTTATTGGAGCTCGGAAGTACATTACTTCAGCATTTCTTATATTTATGACCACAATTTCTTATATATATGCTCATCATATATGAGATGTAAAATTACAATAGTTCTAAATCTTCACCCCTGTAATTCTATAGAAAGAGAATGTAAAATGGTATGGGTTTGTTGAGAAGACAAAATTACACATTTATCTAGAGTAATACTGTCAGGGTCAGAACACTGAAACTGTAAGAAAGTTTGGGCAGGCATAAGGGTAAAGGCCAGCAATTATTGTGACATTTTCAGTCATAATGGTAAAGAAATTGCTATTTTCTTATTTTAACCAAGGTTTTGTTGATATAAATAAAAATCAAGGAAACTATATATGTAAACTAGATGGGAAGTTAAAAACAATGTTATCCACAAATCTAGCCTGAAGTTTCTAAGCGAATTAAGGGTCTTTGTCTTAGCACCAAGTACTGGATTCAGACTAAGTTTCCTAAGATCAGAAGTTATGAACTGGCTTCAATCAAGTCTTCAGACATGAAACCGTGACAATGGACACATGAACGGGTTTACACAGTAACTATGATGTACGTAAATCTGAAATGTGTCGTATTTGCAGGGAACAACATAGATGATACAGTTTGAATATAAGACATAAGCTTATCACAGAGTTCTGCCAACTTAAAGCATATGTGCAAAGCCAATAATCTTATTTACACACATTGACTGCACAAGAATACGCACTTTAGATTTGTGAACAGGCATTGATTTCAAAGGTAGTAGAGGGATGACGTACCATAAAATCTTGGATGATCAATAGATGTCCCTCGAGTCAGACAGCCTAGGAAGCACCCTCTAGTCAGAGACATGAAAAAAGATTCATCTTCCTTTCCTTATTCTCCACACTGATCAAAATCTTACGTTAAAACAAGATTCTTAATCAGAAACAAAAATTGTCTCGGAAAGAACCCCTTTTGATAGTATTTTCCTGGAAGAAGCTCCTGATAGGTTTTAGATCATGCAGACATCCAACATCTTAACTCCGCCAGTGGGTTTTCCCGCTGTCAGTCCCAAGCCTGGATAAAGGAGGAGGGTTTCGGTAGGCCAGTGACAGCCAGTGTAAAACTTAGTCACGTCCCATGACATTGTAGCAGACCCCACTAATGGGATTAAGGCTTTGATTGATTGATTGAGACATCCAACATCTTACTTCTTTTTTTTTTTCTTTTTTTTTTTTCATTTCCAGAGATGTATTATACTAGTTCCAGAAACTAAAGCAGCTCTTCAGCATGTCTGCAAAAAAGAGCAAAGCATCTTTTAGTAAATATGGTCAGCATGCATGGAATCAAGCAACTGCACTGACGTATCTCTTTTATATTTGTTTTTGGAGTGAGATTCTACTGACCTTGTGTTCTTTCTGCTAAAGCAAGGCCACACCAAGATCCAGTTTGGGAACAAACAGAACTGTATACTGTTTATTAGCTGTTCAGCTTATTTGATATCAAAGGTAAAGAGGTTTGAATTCCTACAGCTATTTTAGCACCTTCCTTCTTTGCCAGCTATGCAAACACATCCTTGAGCTAATGTCATAGTCCCATAGACCTGAATGTACCTGACGTTCTAGCTTCTTTGTCCTACCACTAATCCAATTATTATGGAGAACGTAGCATCCCTTTTCTACACAAGCTGCTCGAACATTTCTTTCCTCCCACAAGCCCTGGTAAGCACCATTAGGGAAGAGATTCCTGTCCAGAAATTGAACAGTAAGATTTGTTGTGGGTTCCCAGCATCTATCATCTCCAACACGATTTACGCCATCTAGACCACATAGAGTGTCATAAAAACTTGGCTGCTCGGATAGGTCTGAAGTCATAGCGTGCATCACCACTTTCTCCATGGCAGCAATGGTAGGATCATCAGACCGAACAAAATAGAATCCAGAGTTCAGGCGTCTTGGTAAGTTAATAGGCACTAGAAGATGAAATTGAGATCAGAATAAGATTGAGTTGTTGACATATATCATGTCAGACATGCATTTTGCAAGAATTTGTTAAGTCTTATTTTCTACAAGTATTATTTGTTCGACACAGATAATGGGGGTATTTGATAAAAAGTATATTGGGCCAAATTCAATCCTGATTAGTCACTTAACTATAAGGTGGTGTTCAGTAAGTAGATTCAAGTGAATCTACACTTTCCCAATAAGCGAATAACAGGAGCATATTGAAGAGGGTATCTGATTTAAAATTTTAAATACCCATAAGTATTTTTTGGCACCCCTTAGAATATTATATATTTACCTTATGCTACAATGTTAAGCAAATTGTAACCATATCATTATGTGTCATACTACACAAGTATATATCCAAAAGGCAAATACTACAGAATATACGATCTACAGTCTACTAGTAATATTTGGTATCTATTATTAAATCTAATCCGCTATCTGCTAATGTAAATGGTTCTTGCTTTTTTGAAGAGAGCTTTTTCAGCACTTGTATACAGCTGTGTACACCAAAAGTTAGATATACAAAAAAATTTATTATGCATTGGGACTAAAAGATTACCTGATACATTGTATTCATCAGATTGTGCAACAAATACAGCAGGACCAAAAGTCTGTAGCAATGGAATTGGATTTTTGAACCAGTAAACATCAACATCACTTAAAATTACATTGTATCCCAGCTTCAAAATCTGCAAAACTAATCTGGATTTCGTCTTGGTGACCTTCTGGAAGCACTTAGTCCCAAAGTGACAGTCATTGAAACTGATATTTCTTGGTGCTAATGAGTCCCTGAAAACAGGGATGCCCTGTCAAAAGGAAATGACAAAATCATTTTAAGACAATAGGAAAGCACCATAATATGGGACTCTTAGGTTTTTAATGTAGAACTAAGGAACACAAACACTAAAGCTGAGTGTCAAAAGGGGAATATCTGTTACCTGTTGGATAGAGAACTCGTATGTTTCATCATCAAGAGCGCAGACAAGAAGATTATTAATCATTAGATGCCTTAATCTGCAAACCCAATTCATTAACATGTCCTTGTAGCTGTATCCAGCAACAGCAAGCACCACACTCTTGTTTTCATCAGCTAAATTAGGCAGGAGCATTTCTAAGCCATATGGAAGATGTAGAGGTACAGGATCACTCATCTTGCTCTCAACAGAGCAATTCATAATCCTAGCAAAGATGCTAAATCCAGTAAGACAAGCAATTAGTTTCTTTTGCATCCTAGACTGCTCGACTTGCCCCTTCCACAAGCTATTTGAGCCCTGATGTTTAGGTGAATAAACAATATTCTGGTCTTTGTTGGTAAACATAAATTTTCCATCACACTTTACAAGCTTTGCAAAATCAGAGAAATTAGTTTGATTAGAAGATAACAGGCCATACAGTTCCGCTAGTTGAAGATTACCATTGTACTCCCAGTTTGTCTTTGTATGATCAGCAAAAGTGGACGCTCTATTAGATTGAATAGGTTCATGATCATCATCTGAATTCTGCACATGAAAATTCGAGATAGTCCAACTTGCATCAAACACAAACCTATAGTTGGAATGATATATTTCATTGACGAACCAACGATTATCTACTCCTTTCCCATATAAGAAGGGAGGGAGAACACCCATATGTAAAGGCAGATCCTTGTTATTCCAAGCCATAAGCATCCTCCCTCCGCAATAATCCCATTGCCATGTCTGAGCAAGAACCTCCTGCAACTGATGGAATAGAGCAAAATTTCAATCAAGTTATCTAATTGGCTCATCCACATTGAATTTGTACAAGGTTCTTTGATACCTTCTGCAATGAAATGGGTATACCATCCTCTCTTAGCCATTGCCTTCCAACATTATCCAAAGAGAACGGGAAGAAATAACTTCTTTTTGAAGAGGCGATAAGGAACCAATCATGATCAAGCTCATAAACATGATTTACTGTGGAAAGGAAGTCTTGAAGGAGAATGGTTTCAGGATGAATAAGAACAGAAATATCTGAAGAGGATGCCTCAGCTCTAGCAACCATGGAGTGGAAGAATGGAACATTTAGGAATCTACACAAGAGAACACACAACAAAAACTTTTCAGCCTCACAGATTCTTGCAACTTTTTTGAGCTTGTTTATGTTTAAGCTGCATTAGCATGGCCAAAGTTGTTTCTCAAATTATACAAGTCTCACTGGAGATTAATATTAAACCATCAAAATATCATTTTGAACTCTAGCAGGAAACAAGAACAACTACATTCACACAGCCTATAAAATAAAGAATAATAGAAAATAGAAACCTACAAGAATACTGCTTATAAAACAAAGCATCACCGTCTGAAAAACGGCCTAAGATTTTGATTCTCAAAACAATCAAAACAAGAAAGATCAATAGGAAATCATGAAAAAGAAAAGGGCATCAAGTAGCAGCATGAAGTACCAACATTTATGATTTGTTCACACAATAGTGTCATCTAAGCCATTCTACACACATCCCAAAAGGCCAAAACAACTAAGCCTAGGGAAAAGTTACAAATTATGAGAAGGATTCTAGCTATGTAACATTGTAACTCCTGAGTACAGCAATTCAACCCATTACAATTTACAAGACCAAGTATGAAAAAAATTGTGACATGATCACATAAATATCTCATGCTTCAAAGAATTCAATCACAAATTATAAGGTTTGACAAAGTAAAAAAACAAGAATCATGGGCACTTACGAAAAATCGATGTCGGATTCGACATAAACCCGAGAGCCAAAGGCAGAAGCAAAGGATTGAATAGATGGGTCATTGCCAAATAAAACAACATTGATGTTAGGAGATAATCCTAGCCATGATCGAACAGCAAGACCCTGTCTTTTTCCAACAGAGCCATTAAAAGGGCTTGGAGCACTAAAAAGGGTTATACTGGGATCATTCTTATCAGCTGAATTTCTTGGGTACAAAAAACTGGATTTTCTGAATTCAACTTTGACAGTAGGTAAGAACTGAGTTGCATAAAATGAGCAGCAAATTAATGTAAACCCAGATAACCAAATTGACCATACCCCCAATTTCAGTGCCTACAAATGCAACCAAATACCCAAAATCAAAATAATATATAACTGCAGAAATTATATTTTAAAATACAGAATATGTAAATTCATTATCATTCCTAGGTACTTTTTATGCTAAAAAAGCTTAATTTTTTACCTTGTTGAAGCTTAAAGATGGGAAGAAGAGCGAGAAATTCATAGTGGAGATGATTGAAGAAAGCATTGATGATTTGAAAAGGGGAAGTTTTGATTAATAGTAAGAGAATAATTAACGGAAAAGAAGGGAAGTGGAGAAGAAACAAACACGTAAATGGTGGACATGAGAAACACCCCACCACCAACAACGGCGACATTGAAAAATGGGAAGCAAAATTCCATGTGAGCGGAGAAAGAGTTTGAATCACTTCTTCATTGCGGAACTTTGTTGCTCAAGAAGTTGGCCAAAGTCCATCAACTTCATAACAATGTTGACCATTTGTCGTAAAAAAAATTCTACATGATGACCTCGTTTTTTTATATTTTCGTATTTGACGGATTTATATTTTTCTAAAATGGGTTATAAGTGTTTTACAACAAATGATTTTAAAGAGATAAAAAAAAAGATTTTAAATACTCCGATAATTGTTGTGTATATTTCCTTCAGATTATGCGGGGATTTATAGTGTTGTAATATAAGAAGTATTTTCAAGGCTATATTCTAAAATAAGAAAATCGAAAAAATGATATTGTGACAATGAAAGAGTACGGTGTGTCGTAATGCAAATCACTGACTTGAAAACGAAATTCCGGCGCAACCGAGGTACACTTAAAGGTGGGCACGGGCCGTGCCGGCACGCGGGCGTCACGGGCCCGGCACGACGCCAGCACGGCCCGGCACGGCACGACACGACACGGCGGCCCACCTGTGGGCCGTGGGCCGTGCCGTGAACAAAAAAAATAGTTTTGGCACGGGCACGGGCACGGCACGCGGCACGATGGGCGGCACGGTGGCCGGCACGTGGGCCGGCACGCCGGCACGGCACGTGGCACGACACGAGCCCGCCATATAATAAAATAATTTAATTATTTTGTATTATTAAATTATTGCACCGGCTACCGTCATATAATAAAATAAGTTATTCTTCAATTTTTTGTGTTTTCGGATTATCGCACTCGTATTTTTTTTATTATATGCATTGTTGTTTTTTGCTAAATTAATAAAATTGTTTTTATTTGTTTATATAAACTTAAACATAATTATTAATTAGATAAATAATTTATATAACCTAAATTAAAATAAAGTTGTTCAAAAAATGTAAACAAATTATATTAACATTAACATAAATTAATCACATATATTAAGTTGTACTAAAAAATATATATATATCGTTTAATTCTTTTTTTTTTCATTTATTAAAAAAAAATAAATAAATAAAAATAAAAAGGGTGGCACGATTTGGCCCGCGGCCCGGCACGACATGGCCCGCAAGGCACGTGGGCCGTGCCGTGCCGTGGGCTGGGGTGTGCCAATTTCAGGCACGGCACGGCCCGCCGCGGAGCCGGCACGGCACGACCCCCACCACGGCACGGCCCGCGGCGACACGGCACGACCCGTTGCCCATGTTTAGATGCACTATTGTATTCGCCGGCACGTTCCCTAAGGTTAACACACCACTTCCACACAAAGGCACTTTTGGGTGGAAGGTTGGAGCCAAGTAACTTATGCCCAATATAGAGTATGTGTTAAGCAAGCTTGTGTTTGATATGTATTTCTTGTGTATATAAATCAGAAAACATCCTCCAATTTATAGAGATAAATAAAGAAGATGAAAGATCATGGAGGAATCTTCTATGAACCAAAAAGAGAAATCAGAAATATTATGGTGATTAAAAACACCATAATCAACCTCTTAAATGGGGGGTTACAAGAAATCAAACAAGAAGAGGAATCCAAGGGAACCGTTGGAGTCCAACAGACAAACACGCGCCCGATCAGGCGGAGCTCGCCCGATCGGGCGGACACTCCCTTTTTCCAGAAGTCTTCTCGCGCTCGGTCGGGCGGGGCTCGCTCGATTGGGCGCCAGGTCTGGCGCTCAGTCGGGCGGAGCTTGCCCGATCAGGCGGCGGAACTCCAGAATTTTACGACTCTTCTCGCGCTCGATCGGGCGGGTCTCGCTCGGTCGGGCGCCCAATCGGGCGCCTGATCGAGCGCTCATATCTGACCCTTTGAATTTTCTTTCTTTATTTCCAACAATCCCCCACTAAAGAGAAGAAAAGCCAACAAAAGATGAGGATAAGCAACATATTGGGCATAAGAGGAGATCAATACATAACACTTAGATATTACATAAGTAATTTGAAATCTAGTGCTTAGTGAAATGAGACAATGAATTACAAGTATAAGGGTGGACAAATCTTGAAACCCTTAGACTCTTGATCAAGGAGTGGACTAGCCTTGAAACTCCAAGATTTAATTCAAGACCCCCACATCACATACCTTTCTCCAAAAATTTACTTGAACTCCGCGAAGAGATATGCTCTTTTATAGCCAAGCATATTCACCTTAGGTCTAGTGGAAGCTCTAGGAAATCCGCCCAAATTTTTCATAGAAGATGGCTAGTCTTCACAACCATACAGGTGAATCACAAGCACTTCTCAAAAGTACTCAACGGGGTTAAAACATGTTCATAAGAACTCAACAAATGCTGCATTGTAGTCATTTACCCCCACATGACCATGGATTCATTAAGAGCTTAACGCTCAACCTCACAATAATCATAAACAACGGTGATCCAAAGTTATAGTGCGTCCACCCAAACAATTGGATTCATTAAGAGTCAAAGGACTCAACCTCAAACGGTGGATCAATCAAGTGCGTCTCAAATAACACCAATCCAAAAATGGTTTATTGATCCATTAAGAACTCAAAAGAGTTCAGCCTTAACCAAGCATTACAACACATGCCATAGGGATAGGAAAGTAATGCTTTTCTACATGGGCTTAAGGCCTATCCCCCTCGACATTTTCACAAATTACCAAGGATTGTGTTACATGTCCCAAATTTCCTTACCATAGTGCAAAATTATTTTGCTAGAATATTTTTTCCAATAAGAAAAACTAGCATGTTTTCAACATCAACTTAATTTGCACAGATGGTTAGAAAAATATATATCACTTAGTTTTCACCATTAGATGTATAAGTAATAAGACAACGAACCCAAGACTTGAAATTTCAAAACCTTAATCAAGTCCAATCCTTGAAAATAACATAGCCGCATTAGTGAACTTTCTTCATCAACCATCAATCACCAATACTTGCCTTCCGAAAAGTTTGAACAACTTTCCCCAAAAGCTAGTGTATTTCACACCCTTCGTACCTAAAAAGATATCTAGTAAAAGATGAAGTAAATTTAAACAATGTTAGTCATTCACTATTAGATTTGTAAAATATTGCACTTCAACTATTTCACAAATATATGCTATGTTAAAATAAAATGCAATGCATGTCACTATCACATTGCTAAATGTATTATCATACTCCACTCAAGACATACTTTAAGACCTCTTTAAAATACATACACATAATTCATGCTAAAACATACTCCACTCAAATGATAACATGAACAACAAATATCATATCATCGCATAAATCTTTCCAATCACGAAACATGTATGATACTTTGGAAAAAACCAAAACTCATAATGATCATTATTATTCTGAAAATAATAAAACATATTGTCATAATCCAAATCGTGAAAATTTCTCAACAAAATTGGAAAGATAAGAAGTTCAAGAAAGTTGTTAACTACAAATTACATGTGATTCTCGACACCACCACATTTCTCACATTGTAGAAATAGTACAAAAATATATATTACCTTGAAGCAAGTAGTGAGAGACAAACTTAATCACAAGTATTAAATTCTCACAAGGTACTAACCACACTCTTGTACCACTCCCAAGGTAATAATATCAAGTTAGCTCATACTTGAACTTATAGCTCACACTTGAACTTCAGTTCACATTTCTTATCTTCAACATGGAACTCACCAACCAACCCACTTAAGTCATCACTTAGAAGGCTTAACAAACCACTAGAGGGGAACTTATTATCATCAAATACTAAAGATCCGAAATAATTAAGTCATCCAAGTAAGACCTACATCGTTCCATTAAGGCAAGAAAGACAAAGTCACCTTTACTCACAAAAATAGCCTTGATCATTCCCAACAACACTTAGTAAATTGACATTGAAAAGACTATAGAAGAAATAATAGGAAACACACTCCATAAAAAGATAGGAGAACTCTAGGCAAGTTAAAATTATCTAACTCATCCTCAATAACTTCTTCTAAAATAACCAATCACTCACGTCATCAATTCATTAAGTTAAGGAAACACTCTTCACACATTGCATAGAGAAACCAAATCAAGACAAATAAATAATAGTCTTTAGCATAACTAGTCACTTTCATGCTTTGCATCAAATAGAAGAGAAACTAAAAATGATGCCTCTTATTCCTCTTATAGATAACTTGTTTACTCAATAAACAAAATAAATGCATATATGGGAATATAGCAATCAAGAGACATGAGAATTTCATATGCATAGCCAATCACTCAAACATGACATAATGCATAGAATTACTAAAAACATATTATTAAAGTAAAGGAGATAATTTAATTGTGATGAATGGAGATTGCCAAATATTATAGTACATGGAGATAATCCAACAATGACATACCAATCCAACAATGACATACAATAATCCAACATTGTGGTATATGGAGACAATCCAACATTCACAAACAAAGTCATGGAGCATAGTATCATTTGCTTAAAAAGCAAATCCAAAATATCAAATAAACCAAGACTTTGAGTCCAACATTTATTCTTATATACTTTTCCCCCACATTGGACGATATAAGTCTTCAACTTAAGTATTGAAATTAGACATGGTAAACTCTATTCCTTTCACATGGGGTATATAAGGACTAAATTCCTACTACAAAATTCTACACTCATAGAATCATAACCCCCACATGCCAAAGTTAAGTCTAAAATCAAAACATAGTTGATAAGGAGAAAAGGAACATGTGAACATACCTCCATAGTGCCTTTTAATAATTTACCTTAGCGATCAATGACGAACAACCCAATGACCACCACTTGTAGTGATTGTGCATCCACTAAGTATTTTGAGCTTCTTGGAGCACATTTGAATTCACGTTCTTTGCTTGAAAAATATTGACATTATGTGGAGATTTACTAGACATAGCACCAAAAGAAATACAATTATTAAGAATCACTTCCCACACATAAGAAATCGATAAATATTCCTTAAAGAAATGTCAATACCAAACCAAATTGAACCAAATAAGAACAAATATGAACAAAACACGTAATAAGAATTAATAACTCTTGAAAACTCTCTCTTAAGGTGGATAAACAAAGAAGTAAAATAACCTAACCATTGAATTAAATAATAATTCAAACATTATCATACTTCCAAAAATTCATCATAAGGTTGACACACTACATATCAAAAATAGTCACCAAAAGTATTTCAAGAGTATTAAAAATTAATTAAAGTAGTCATCCATTCTCAACAAGAACTATGACACCACTAAGATTCACAAATACAACAACCACTAAGCATGTTCTCCATGAAAATGATACACATATGGCTCTTAGCTTCACATAATTCTTATTCAAAAACTTCTCATACTTAATAAATTGAAAGAATTAACACAAGTTTTTGAGAAGAAATATGCAAAAAGAGTGTTATCATGAGCATGAACAAAGTCTCCAAAAGCAACATGAATATATATATGTATATCAACACATATGTACCAAAAGTAATAGACTTTGATATTGCATCACACTCCACATAATCACAAAATTCATGGTAAAACTAACAATTTAACAAGTCTTAAACAACCATGAACTATTTATTAAAATAGGCATGTAAATATTAGGAACACAACATATTGCTAAAAGAAAATTAATCTAAAGCAATAACCTAATATTTACTTTCTCAATGAACAAAACAACACATATGTTCAAAAATTAACACATATGTTCAAAACAACACATATGTAAATAAAACCAACTAACGTATTTCTAAGTGCTAAGTTCAAACCACAAGCATAGAACAAAGACATAGAAATAATCATGTCATGTAACATCACACATATATAACATGGATTATACTTTAGCCTATAAACTAATAATCATGTAACAAATACTACATTATGGACAAAATAATCATCTAATATTATAATGCCAAAAATCACAACTCATATATTTTCCAAGAAGATTATTAGAATTAAAATCACGTGCTAAGCATAATCAAAATAAAATTAGTTTAGAGAGGACCTCCCTTGAATTAATTCAATTGTCAAAGATGAGCATTCTCCGTAGTACGCTCAAATTTCCTCTCCAAAAATGCAGCTTAACATTGAAGCGATAACTCCCAAACGTGAGCAGCTATTAACAATCCAACCATTGAAAATGAAGCTTCATATGTCCCAAACAAGCTCCCAAAATTTCAGCCCAAACCGACAACGATTGACCTTTGATTGGGGTCCATTTCCGGGACTGCTCCCAGAAAAACGTGAGCAACATTTTTTCCCAAAAAATTGTTTTTTCTTGACATCATCCAATCTTTCGACCAATACCCAATTAGTAGCCAATGAAAATATATAATTTCGTTTTCAAATTGTTGTAATACAAGAAGTATTTTCAAGGCTATATTCTAAAATAAGAAGATCGAAAAAATGATCTCGTGACAATGAAAGAGTACGGTGTGTCGTGATGCAAATCACTGACTTGAAAACGAAATTCCGGCACAACCGGGGTGCACTATTGTATTTGTCGGCACGTTCCCTAAGGTTAACACACCACTTCCACACAAAGGCACTTTTGGGTGGAAGGTTGGAGCCAAGTAACTTATGCCCAATATAGAGTATGTGTTTAATTAAGCAAGCTTGTGTTTGATATGTATTTCTTGTGTATATAAATCAGAAAACATCCTCCAATTTATAGAGATGAATAAAGAAGATGAAAGATCATGGAGGAATCTTCTATGAACCAAAAAGAGAAATCATAAATATTATGGTCATTAAAAACACCATAATCAACCTCTTAAATGGGGGGTTACAAGAAATCAAACAAGAAGAGGAATCCAAGGGAACCGTTGGAGTCCAACGGATAAACACGCGCCCGATTGGGCGGACACTCCCTTTTTCCATACGTCTTCTCGCGCCCGGTTGGGCGGGGCTCGCCCGATCGGGTGCTCAATCCGACGGAGCTTGCCCGATCAGGCGGCAGAACTCCAGAATTTTACGACTCTTCTCGCGCCTGATCGGGTGGGTCTCGCTCGGTCGGGCGCCCATATCTGACCCTTTGAATTTCCTTTCTTTATTTCCAACATATAATACCCTTGCATGAACAGTGTTTACTCGATATGTTAAACACGCAGTGAAATGTCTAATCGAGCATGAGGTTCTGAGCGGCAATATTTACTTTTTCATGGGAAGCTAAATGATGATGTTTGGCAGTATTCTTAATCCGTTCATATTACGCAATACGATGCGTATTATAACACCCCCCCTTGAACGGATTTCTATAGGATGACTCCTATCTAAAATTTACATGTATGTAAAAATAAATATTACTGCTATTGTACCTATATGTTTATCTACCTCATTAAAACCTTGCCAAGAAAAACCCTGTGGGATAAAAACTTGGACAATAGGGCTCCCCCTAAGTTATTACAGATCACAAAGATGACGCATGTCGGTCATTTGCACGAGTTCTTGAAATTTTCTAGGTGGTAATGCCTTCGTGAATAGATCGACTAAGTTGTTGCATGACTGGATCTGCTTGACATCGATCTTGCCTTCCTTTTCCAAGTCATGAGTAGAAAAGAAATTGGGGTCGATGTGTTTTGTTCTATCACCTTTGATGTAGCCTCCTTTAATTTGTGAGATGCAAGCAGTGTTGTCTTCAAAAATTGTAGTTGGGTCTTCTTCGAATATTTTGATGCCGCTTTCTTTTAGTATATGTTGGGTCACAGATCGCAACCATATACATTCCCTACCAGCTTCATAAAGGGCAATCAATTCATCTTGGTTTTATGAAGTTGTTGTTAGTGTCTTCTTGGTTGACTTCCAAGAGATTGTTGTATTGCCATAGCTGAGAAGATAACCAGTTTGTGATTTTGATTTTACTGGATCTTATAGGTAACCTGCATCAGTATATCCCACGAGAGCAGGATTTCCATTTCTTGGATAGAAGATCCATAAATCAATTGTTTGACGTATATAGCGAAGTAGGTGCTTCACTCCATTCGAGTGTCTGCTTGTAGGTTCAGAGCTATACCTTGCTAATAAGTTCACTGAAAATGCAATGTCTGGCCTAGTGTTGATGGCCAGGTACATCAAAGCTCCTATTGCACTTAGCTATGGCACCTCTGGACCAAGTACAACTTCACCTTATTCTCAGGGTCGAAAAGGACCATCTTTGATGTTTAGAGCACGAACAATCATTGGTGAATTCAATGGGTGTGCTTTGTCCATATAGAACCTTTTTAATACTTTCTTGGCATAATTGGATTGATGAATTAAGATACCATCTCTTAGATGTTCAATTTGTAATCCGAGATAAAATTTTGTTCCTCCAAGGTCTTTCATTTCAAATTCTTTCATCATACATTTAGCGGTTTCTTCGATTTCGCTATGTGTTCCGATGATGTTTAAATCATCAACATACACCGCTATTATGACAAAACCATTTTTGGACCTTTGATGAATACGCATGGACAAATTTGATCATTCTTATACTCTCCTTTGAGTAGGTATTCACTTAAATGGTTAAACCACATCCTCAGCTCCCAGATTGCTTTAAACCGTAGAGTGGTTTTTTCAATTTTATGGAATTTAGCTTTTGAGGTTTTGACCTCAAGGTTGAGGTTTTGACCTCAATGTTGAGGTAGTTCAAGTCCTTCAAGGACTCTCATATAGATGTCGGTATCAAATGACCCATAAAGGTATGCAGTCACAACATCCATCAAGCACATTTGTAGTCCTTTGCATGCTGATACACTTATGAGGAACCTTAGTGTCGTGGCATCTACCACAGGTGAATATATTTCCTCATAGTCGATTCCCGATCTTTGAGAGAAACCTTGGGCTACAAGTCTAGCCTTGTATCTTACAATTTCTTCCTTTTCATTTCTTTTTCGTATGAACACCCATCTATACCCGACGAGTTTCACTCCTTTTGGAGTCTGGACTGCAGGACTGAAAACTTCACGTTTTGGCCAATCACTTCTTCGTCGACATTCATCTACAAATGATGGCTCCGTGTCCTCAACATCAGTGGTGATTTCTGTGGCAATTGAGTATGCGAACACATCATTGACATAGATTTTTACTCTATCCCAGTGTTTTCTAGTGTGGACGTAATTTATTGAAATTTCATGATTATCGACGATTTCGTTTTCGCGCTCCCCCTCAGATGTACCATCTGACTCTTTAGATTCATCTTGGGGGCTGATTATATTTTCATCATTTTGGATTTGATCCACTTTATTTGAGGATTTTTCACTCTTTTTATTCCTCATTTCCACTCTTTTGGATTTTCTCGGCTTTAGATCTTTAGCTCCGAGGGGTCTGCCACGTCTTTTGCGTGCTGCAATTTTATCTGAAAGTGGATTATCCATTTTCTTTGCTTGGATTTCAACCCTAGTAGGGGCATTCACTGAAGGTATATGTGACTTTGTCACTCCTTTTGAATTAGTGAATGCGTTTGGCAATTGATTTGCGATGTTTTGCAAATGTATTATTTTTTGCACTTCTTGTTCGCACGTATTTGTCCTTGGATAAAGGTATTATAGATTTTAGGCATTCCATGATATTTCTTTCCAGCATGGGCCCTCTTTATCTCCCCCTAAGGTTGGGAAGAATGTCTCATTAAAGTGACAATCTGCGAACCGAGCTGTGAAAAGATCACTAGTCAATGGTTCGAGATATCATGTGATGGAAGGTGATTCATAGCCAACATAGATTCCCAACCTTCTCTGTGGGCCCATTTTAGTACGTCGGGGCGGTGCTATGGGAACATAGACTGCACATCTGAATGTTTTTAGATGTGCCAAGCTAGGTTCCTTTCTAACTACTAGTTGCATTGGAGATAACTTATGTGTCGCGCTCGGTCTTAGTCGTAGCAGAGCAGCGGCATGTATTATTGCATGTCCCCATGCAGAAGATGGGAGTCTTGATTTCATGAGTAATGGCCTAGCGACTAATTGTAATCGCTTTATTAATGATTCTGCAAGGCCATTTTGTGTATGAACATGGGCTACTGGGTGTTCCACGTCTATCCTAATTGACATACAATAGTCATTAAATGTTCGGGATGTAAATTATCCGGCACTATCTAGTCTAATCCTTTTTATCCGATAATCCGGGAATTGATCCCTTAGACGTGTGATTTGCGCAAGAAGTTTTGCAAATGCAAAATTCCTGGTAGAGAAGACTAACATGTGACCAACGTGTTGAGGCATCAATTAACACGAGGAAATATCTTAACGGTCCACATGTCGAGTGTATCGGCCCGCAAATGTCTCCTTGTATTCTTTCTAGGAATGCAAGATTTTCACCTTCAAGTTTACCTTTTGAAGGTCTTATGATCAGTTTGCCAAGTGAACAAGCTTTACAATGAAGTTCATTTGATTGTGGGATCCGTATATTATTTAACGGATGTCCATTTTGAACTTTTAATGATTTTTATCATCATGCTTGTTCTAGGATGACCTAAGCGGTCATGCCATGTATTAAACATTTCCTAGTTGTCTACCTTGTGGTTAGACACCGTACCAAATATGTTTCAATTAGGCTGATATAAGTAAGTACAATCCTGAGGAGTATGCTTCTAATTTTTCAAGAGTCTCATTATTGCCAGATTTTCTTTTGACGAGGTACATATACTCCTTTTTTTTCATTAACGGTTTCCATGTGATAACCATTCAGACGTAAATCTTTGAAACTCAATAGATTACGTCGTGTTTTGCTAGAATATAATGTGTTTTTTATTGTTACTTTTGTACCTTTTGGTAATATTACGCAAGCTTTTCCTGAGCCCTTAACCATATTGACGGTGCTGGCAATTGTGTTGAGATTGGTATTTATTGGCTTGATATGAGTAAATTATGACTTGTTGCTCAAAATGTTGTGTGTGGTTGCGCTATTAATCAGGCATTTTTTCAGCATTTGTGTTGTTATTTTCCATTGTCTTCACATGAATAGAGAAAGGATTAGTAAAACTATCATCTATAAAAACACGTATGAGAAAAACACATTTTTATTATAGAATATATTACAATATTAAAACAAAATTGATACTAGGAAAAGAATATGCTTAAAGAAAACTTAGGATTTTGGATAAAAAGGAAAAACAATACAACGGACAACCAACTCGAAAAATATATGACAATGTAGATGAAGCAAACACCACAGGACAAGCACATGATCGATGTAGTTTAGGCATTTTCTATGTCGTCAACAAGATAATCGGCTACATCGAGTTCTGGGTTAGGGGAACTTTGTGTGACAAAATTAGTTTATGCTTGTTTCCCTTGGCCTCCTCTTGAGGCAACATATAGGTCCACAAGGTGTTTTTCCGTACGGAAATCCTTAGCCCAATGGCCTTGTATTCCGCATTTAAAACACTTTTCTTGTGGCCTTACTTGGTTTTAATTTGAAAATTTCCCCTTCCTCTACCGCCTCTTCCTCTACCTCTACCTCTCAGGATGGGAGTATTGGAAGTATTTTGACGCCAGTTTTGATGTCCTCTACCCCTATTGTGGTACTGACCTCTGCCCTAAAAAACTCCTCATACAATATTGTTGTTCCAGTGCCTGCCTGTTTTTGTGGCATTTGTTTCTAGTATTGCACTGGTACTTGCTGGTCTCTGATTATGATTAGACAGCAGGATTTGATTGTTTTGTTCTGCGACTATGAGTATGGAAATTAAGTCACAAAACCTTTCACAACGCCTTTCTCGGTACTGTTCTTGTTGTACCATATTATTTGCGTGCATTGTAGTGAGAGTTTTCTCAATCATGGCTCTTTTAGAGATTGGTTCTCCACATAATCTCAATTGTGAAGTTATGCGAAGTACAACAGAGTTATATTCACGTACTGAGCTGAAATCTTGAAGTCTCAAGGTAGATCATTCATGCTGGGCCCTTGGCCCAATTATTCTCTGTAAGTGTTCGAATCTGTCTTGGAGGCAAACCCAAAGTTCTCTGGGATCCTCAATGAGAATATGCTCAGTTTTTAATTCGTCATGAATGTGGTGTTTGATATACACCAAAGCTTTATCTTGTTCTAGAGGATTAGGGTTTCCTTCTTCGGCGATAGCGTGTTCTAGGATTTGTGCCCTTAGGTAGGCTTTTGCGTCCACCCGCCATTCCAGGTATCTTCCTCCGAAAATGTCTAAAATTTCAAAGTCCCGGTTTGCAATTCGAGCCATTTTTTATTACACGAAATTTTTTAAGAGATTAGTAAAAGGGAAGTCAAATATTTTTGTATTTCATATATAAGGTTTTAAAGATTAGAAAACATCACTATGGAATGCAAGACGTAGTGGTCCGAGTACCCAACTTACAAATAAGAGGTTGAGGGTTCGAAACCTGGTAAAAGCATAAACCCCGCAAAATTAATAAAGGTTGCACATTTTTTTTATTAACTTTAATTAATCTGGTACTTATTATATCCGAACAATAAACAAGAATAATACTTGAATAAAATGACTAAAATAAATTTCAAAAACCCAAATAACTAAAGTTTAATTAATATTATACTTACCAAAACATTCCCCATAAACCTGATTACTACTTTTGTTAAAACAAAAGAAAAACCCAATATTAAGGATGACCGTTGGCATGCAGCCAACCTCCAACATAAAAAAAACTTTATAATGCATTTCAAAAAGTCTTTATTGGTTTTAGTGTTTTGTTTTGTCAGATTTGCATGTACATCCGGGGCTTGTAACAAGTATCAACTATTTATATCTTGTCTTATAATATATTTGCCACATGTAGATGAGTACGTATGCATGTAATATCACCTTTATCTCTTAACTGTGAAGTCTAAAAGGTAAGTATCATTCATTCATGCGTCTATAGTCATCCTATTCTTTTTCTTCTTTCTTACTAATATCCTAATTCTCTTTCTTCCTCTTTCTTAAAGAAATATTCATACAAAATAATTAGGAGAAGAAAATTTCTTATAGTCAAAAATAAATTTTCTTCATGAAATAATAGGCAAAATTAAATTCATGTAATAAACGGAAATTTATCTTCGTACTTCCGGCCATAAATTGCCTACCATTTTAGGTGGCCTTGTTCTCAAAATAAAACGTAAGCCGACCATCAAGGCGACAGTTTGAGAGTTTGGCCCGTCCATATAGGCGGCTTTTAAATGCAAATATTTCCCTCCATAAAGGTGGGTAATTTGCTTAAAGTGTCCTATTAGTCGCCTTGGCGACGTTTACTACGAGTAGTAGCGGTGGTGGCGGTATCTGTTTCATCTCTTCCTCTTTTATTAGTATTTAGAGGAGGGGGATCGATTTCGGTTGGTGGTACTGGGGGATTTTCATTGAGGTTAGGGACAACTTGTGGAATTTCGACGGCTTCGGCGGCGTTATTGTTTCGGGCTTGATTTGTACTTTCTCGGTCTGGTTGTATTGTATTGTACCGCAAGGTATGACATTACGCTCTACTACGAAATATATATGTGAAAGTGATATATTATTCAAAAATGTATTAACGCCATTATTTTGGTGTTCCATTTTTGAGTAATGAATAATTTTGGTAGTTAAATTCAAAATTTGAAAAAGCAAAACTACCTTTTTGAGTAATTTAAGCAAATTGGTGCTGATAACGCATTTTACAACAAAGGATTTTAAAGAAATCAAAAGAAAGCTTTTAGATACTCCGATAATTGTTGTGTATATTTCCTTTAGATTATGCGGGGATTTATAGTACCCTTGCATGAACAATGTTTACTCGATATGTTAAACACACAGTGAAATGTCTAATCGAGCATGAGGTTCCGAGCGGCGATATTTACTTTTGCATGGGAAGCTAAACGGTGATGTTTGGAAGTATTTTTAATCTGTTCATATTACGCAATACGATGCGTATTACAACAAGAACAATTTTTTTATGTTCATAATTTTCTTTTCTTTTTTTAGAGAAAGGATTTTATTAATAAAATATAGCTAAACGACACTTACAAAAATGCTAGAAAATCTAAAATTCCAACATAAGTACACATTACCTTCGAACTAGTTATAAACAAATTCTAGAAAAATCTAAAACTCCAACCCAGGTGCAAATCACTTTCAAACTAGTTACATCGCAGATTCGATCAACAATCGCCTTAATTAAAATATTCTTTGAAAGCAATACAATCTGTGAATTAGCACGAATTCGGCTAGCGATCCACGGATATATAGTTGTTTGGGTGATAAACTTGGCCTTATAGATACTTCCGGATATTATGAAATCATAAATCTTCAATCTTTAACAGACAAATAAACAAAGAAATTAAGCCTAATAGGATAAACATCATCATAAAGATGAAATCCATATTTATCAAAAGCAATTAAAAAGTTTTTTGGGGCTTACCATCGATAGAAACACTAGTGGAATCCCGCACAAAAATTTACAATTGAGACCAAATGAAAAGAGATGAAAGAGAAAGAGAGAAAAGGAGAAAGTGAAGGAAAACCTTCAAAAAAGAAGAAAAAAAAAATCTAATAATGGAGGTTAGAAAAACCTCCTAAGGGAGAAACCTTAGAGGGAAAAAAAACCTTCCCAAGGAGAAAACCTAGTTAGAACATTAATCATTATTCCATAATTCTTAATTCTAAACTACAAATATAAATTAGATTTGCACATTTGTCAAAATACAACTTTGACCATCAATATCTATAATTAGAGGTTATTAGTAAAAATTATGAAAAAAAATTAATTTATAAATTTAGACTTTATGACAAATCAAATTACACACTATCTCCGTTTCATATTATTTGCAACGATTTGACATAAAGTAGAGAAAAAAAATGTCTAATTGTTGCAAATAATATGAAACGGAGGTAGTATTATATGATCATATTTATATACTATATATTAGTAAAAAAAATTATGTCAGTAATGACATAGGAATAGTGGAAACTCCCAATGACAGGCTAAAGTCGTATCACCTAATCAAAAGTAATTCCTAAATCCTCTAACTAATGTAGATAGGGAAGTAGGATCGAATCCACAGAGAAACGAGTCTTTCTATTCCTAATTAGTTAATATAATCTAGATTATAAAGTAATCAAAATATAATAATCGAAGGAAACTAAACTACTAAAAGTAAAAGTGGGAAAAAATAAAAGTAGGAGGAGAAACAATGAATAAAAGGCCTAGGGCATAGGTTCAACAATAAATAATATTCCAGGGTAAAATATAATAATCAATCATCAATGCATAAATTAATCAGATCATAAAGGACTTTCGCTAAGTATTACAATCACACAATTAATTTACCGGTATTAAATCTCATCTATCGAATCTCGACTTAACCATTTATAAATTAACCTGCCTATTAAAACTAGACCTAAACATTAATTCTCATCTCTCGAATCTCGAATCAATATTGTCAAACTCATGCATAAAAGATCTGCGCAAATCTAGTCACAGAACATTAAATCAATCAATAGGAAATTAATCTAGCATTGATAATTAACAACAATAAATTACCCCTTCATATTATTTATGGATCCCCATAATATCACAAATTTCCATATGTTGTGTGGCTGGGGTTACTCGATCGATCGATCGATCAAGGTTTATGTGGCCGGGATAACTTAGTCAGTCATGGATTAATCAATTGGTCACGGGTTACTCAATCAGTGTTTTAGTGTATGTCATCTTGCCACACGATATGGCTGACCACACCAAAAAGCGTTGTATAACAAGTAGTAATTTGTATTCTAGTTCGTAGTCAAAATTAAAGGAAAACCATATAATGAATAGGTGTGTCAATGGGGCGGGTCAAGTAGCACGGTCTCAATTTATCCAATGGTGGGATGGAGATGAGGATAAAAACCATACCTGTCATGGATGATGGGCGGAGGTGAATTTTAGGTTTGTACTCGTTATACAATACTTTTTTCTTTAATTTGAACTAACACTGAGAAATAATTTCAGACTTTAATCCGAATAATAAAAAAGAAAGATAGAAAAATCCGAAGGAAACACAAAACAATTAATTTTAACATGTGTGCATAGAGCCATAGTGTTAGGCCATATGTATAGCTATTGGGCCATTGTTATGTTACGAGCCCTAATCTCTCTAGGTTGTATATATACTTGTGCATATGCTAATACAAACTACACTACTCTATTCTCTCTAAACTCTTTATTACTTGCTTGATCGTAATGGGTGAAGAAGGCAAACTTGATTCATCTTCCCCTTTTACCTTGACGTCGGTGACCAACCGGGAAACCTAATCACACATGTGGTTTTGAAGGCCGACAACTACCTTGCTTGGTCTCGAGAAATTACCCTCTCTTTGAAATCTCGCAGGAAGTACGGATTTATCGATGGAACTATCTCTAAGCCGCCAGAGAAAAAGAAGTTACGTGACTGGGATACTGTGAACTCCATGTTAGTTTCATGGATTTTGCGTTCTATTAATCCAAAGCTAGCATCTTCCATTCCCTATTTCGAGGAGGCAAAGAAACTCTGGGATTATTTGGAGAAGAGGTTTTGCGAGGCTAGTGGACCTCGTCTACAGCAATTACGCACCTCTATCACTAATTGCAAGCAATCTAAAACTATGTCTGTCGAGGAGTACTATACTACTTTGATGGGGTATTTCGATGATCTTCTTCGTCTCAAACCCCCTCACAGTTGTGAATGTGTAAATTGTTCGTGTAACGTGGCTGAGAAGTATGAACTTGACAGGGACGAGGAGAAATTGCATCAATTTTTGATCGAAATTGATGATGATAAATATTCTGTTGTGCGCACTAACCTCCTGTCTCAACAACCTCTGTCGACCCTTGATCGTGCTTATCAAGCTTTCCTTCGGGAGGAACATTCCCATAGCATTGCTCAAGGGAAGTCGCATACAGAGAAAGTCAAGGCCGATGTCTTTGCTCTCTCCTCTAATCGGCGTTCTTTTCAATTCACTCCTCGGGTTGATAAATCAAAATTGTTTTACTCTCATTGTAAGCGATTGGGACATGATAATTCTGGTTGCTTCATGCTCCACCGATACCCTGATTGGTGGCTGGAAAAATACGAAAAAAGGGGGACCGCAACCTCTGTTAGCAGCCTACGGGCCATGGCAACAAGCCATCTGCTACGGCTGCTGCCCCTGCCCCTGCTTCTCTTGCTGTTGCTGCTGACTCCACCAAACCACGGGCTTGGGAAAATGATGTTGGTAGTCTGCTTGGGGCTTCTTCTAGGCCCTCCTAAGATACTCTTTCCGCTTTATCAGACCTCCAACTTTAACATGTTCGTACGCTTTTAAATATGGTTAATAGTCACCAACAAGATAAGATGACTGGTGAGCCTATTTCTTTGCCTTAGATAGTCGATACCGGCGCTTCTCATCATGTTACCGGGAATAACTCTTGTTTAATGAATGTGCAATACATTTCTCCTTGTCCCGTTAGCCTCCCAGATGGTGCTCACGTTATGGCTACTAAGGAGGGTCGAGTGTGTTTAGCAGATGGCATTATACTTGAGAATGTTTAATTTTATTTGTTCCCAAATTATATTGAAATTTAATATCGGTGTCTAAAATGATTGATGACTTTGAATGTTTTTTCCAATTCACTGACTCTTTTTTTGTGCTATACTGGACCAACATTCGGGGAGCCTGATTGGAGTCGGTGAACAAATAGATAGACAATACTACTTCTGGCGAATTCCTAAAGCATGTGCGGTGACCAATCCAGAAGTCTCTACCTTTGAGTTGTGGCATCGTCGTATGGGGCATCCGTCGGACAACATTGTCAAGTTAGTGCCTGCTATTAGTGGTAATTCTAGTAGTAAATCATTGAATAAAGCTTGTATTGTTTGCTCGCAAGCTAAACAATCACGGGATAGTTTTCCTATTAGTGATAGAGCTAGTCGCATTTTTGAAATGATACATTGTGACCTGTGGGGGTTTTATAAGACGCCTTCTACTTATGGTGCTCACTATTTTTTGACTATTGTTGATGACTATTCGAGAGGTGTATGGATTTATTTATTGAATGACAAAACTGAACTTTATTCTTCCTTTTGCTCTTTCTTTGCTATGATAAAATGTCAATTTGATGTCACTGTGAAATGTTTGCGGAGTGATAATGGAACGGAATTTAAACCCATGCTCCCTTACTTTGATGAACATGACATTCTCTTTCAAACTTCTTGTGTCGGTACCAACAACAAAATGGGAGGGTCGAGCGTAAACACCAACATATTTTAAATGTTAGTCGTGCTTTGATGTTTCAAGGAAATTTGCCGATAGCTTTTTGGGGAGTGTTTTTTGGGGCGGTTTATTTAATTAACCGCGCTCTATCCCGTTTGTTAGCCAATAAAACCCCATATGAACTTCTTTTTGGCAAAGCCCCTTCTTTTGATGAATTACAGGTGTTTGGGTGTCTTTGTTTTGCTCATAACCAAAAAGCTAAGGGTGACAAATTTGCTCCTAGCACTCGTAAGTGTGTTTTTGTGGGATACCCTCGTGGCAAGAATGGTTGGAAGGTCTATGACTTAGAGACAGGTGATATCTTTGTCTCATATGATGTTAAGTTTCGTGAAGATGAATTCCCATTTATGCATAGTGAAGAACCGAATGATCCTCTTGTTAGTGCCAAAATGGTTGAGAGGGGGGGTTGATGTTGATTTTTTAGATGATCTTGAGAAAGTGCTCGAAATTGGAAAAGTATCTACTGTGCACGGTTCTAATGACAGCAGCCCGCAACCCCCTTCACCATCTGCTACTACTGCTGTACCTGCATCTGCTGCTAGCTTCAGGACAACAGCTGCCTCAGGGTTGGATGTTGTTGGCAGCATGGTCTGCGGCTGCAAGCATAGACCGCATCCACCACGTGGCTTCTTCGGCCTCTTCCACTGAAGGCAGTCCGCAAGGTAACACAATAGCTGCCACATACTCTCCTTCTCATGCCTTGGGCCGTGGCCAACGTCCTAAGCATCCACCGAATTGGCACAAAGATTATGTCGCACATGCTATCTCTAGCCCATCTATCTCCTCCCGTTCATCGTCTACTCCATGCTCCTTAGGTACTCCCTATCCTTTAGCACATTTTGTGAATTGTGATAAATTTTCTTTGCGACACCGTGTTTTTATTGCAGCTGTGGATACTGTGGTAGAGCCACGTAATTTCAAAGAGGCTAAGAAAGATGAAGGGTGGAGAGAGGCGATGCAAAAAGAAATTTCTGCTTTAGAAAATAATCACACTTGGGTAATGGAGAAATTACCTCCGGGCAAGAAGTCTCTTGGGTGCCGATGGGTTTACAAGGTCAAACTCAATTCTGATGGCTTTATTGAGAGGTTAAAAGCTCGTCTCATTATTTTTGGTAACCATCAGGTCGTGGGTATTGATTATAACGATACGTTTGCTCCCGTTGCTAAAATGGTTACTGTTCGTGCTTTTCTTGTTGTTGCTACTGCGAAAAATTGGGAATTGCACCAAATGGTTGTTCACGACGCCTTTCTCCATGGTGATCTTGATGAGGAGGTTTATATGACACCCTCGCCTAGTTTTCATGGTTCTAAGCCGGGTTTGGTGTGTCGTCTTCGAAAATCTTTGTATGGTCTCCGGCAAGCACCCCGTTGTTGGTTCTTTAAGTTGGCCTCTTCTCTGAAAAGGTACGGTTTCATACAATCGTACTCTGATTACTCTCTTTTTACTCTGCAAGTTGGGGCTATTCAACTTAGTGTTCAGTGTATGTTGATGATTTAATAGTATCTGGTAATGATTCTGCTGCAATTACATCATTCAAATCATACCTGAGTGACTGTTTTCATATGAAAGATTTGGGTGTGTTGAAATACTTTCTTGGTATTGAGGTTGCACGTAGTCCGGAGGACATATTTTTATGTCAACGGAATTATACTCTTGATATTATTGTGGAATTCTGGTTTGCTAGGGGCACGTCCTGAGTACTCCTATTGAGCAGAATCATATTCTAGCTAAATCAGAGTCTCCTCTTATTTCTGATCGTGAAATGTATCGTCGTCTTGTGGGCCATTTGATCTATTTATCTTTCACGAGACCTGATTTGGCTTGCGGTTCATATCTTGTCTCAATTTATGCAACAACCGCGTCAGGATCATTGGGAGGCCGCTCTTCGTACGGTGCGTTACTTGAAAGGATGTCCGGGTCGGGGAATCCTTTTAAGCTCTGATTGTGATCTACGTATTACAGGTTGGTGTGACTCGGATTGGGCTAGTTGTCCTTTGGCAAGATGATCTATTTTTGGTTGGTTGGTGTTTCTTGGTGCTTCCCCTATATCTTGGAAGACTAAGAAGCAGGACACTGTGGCTAAGTCTTCTGCAGAGGCCGAATTTCGTTCAATGTCTAAAACCACTAATGAGTTGAAGTGGTTAAAGGCTCTACTTTTGAGTTTGGGAGTCTCTTATCCCCGCGCAATGAGTTTGCTTTGTGATAGTCATCTGCATTGTATATTGCGCGGAATTCGGTCTTTCATGAGCGTACTAAACATATTAAGGTTGATTGTTATTATGTCCGCAATGCGATTCAGGATGATATTATTAGTCTGTCGTATGTGAAAACGACGGATCAACTTGCGGATATTTTCACTCAGGCATTGAACAAACAACAATTCTTGTATTTACTTGGCAAGTTGGGCATTTGTATAGCTATTGGGCCATTGTTATGTTACGAGCTCTAATCTCTCTAGGTTGTATACATACTTGTGCATATGCTAATACAAACTACACTACTCTATTCTCTCTAAACTCTCTAGGTTGTTCTTATTTTTATTTTTTTTACATTTTTTTTCTTTATTTTTCTCAACCAATTACATATTGACACGTGTGCAAAAAAAAAATAATCACAAATGTTTACCTGATTTACCGGTTGTAAGTCCTTTGGGTGCAATAGAAATTAAATCCCCTAAAGTTGGGAGTGATAGATAATAAATGAAAGTTGGGATTAATCGGCGAATGAGACAAAGTTCAGATTAATGGGAGCAATTTTTCCTTAGAAAAATTAACAATTTTTGTTGAACTAACAAGTGTGCAAATAAAAAAACATTAAAAAAAAAACAAGTGTACAAATAAGCCTCAAGACTTAGCCCTATGTGCAAATTAACCCCCTTACTATTAGTTGTTTCAAATTTAGCCCGTAATATCTTTTGTAATATGTGCAAACAACACAGACGTAGTATATGACATTTTCCAGCCACATCTATCCTAAAAAGTTTAATTAGTTCAGAATACAATTATAATTTTTCAATTTTATCGGAATACAACCATATTTTACCACTATATAGTACAACCTTTACACATTTAAATATGAAGAATTTATAAACAAAACATCGAAGTATATAAAACATGTAAAACGTCATTATTTATAAACAAAACATCATTGAATACAAAACACTTTTATGACATAAGATAAATCAGATCAGTCTAAGATTTACTCTGATTTTGTGTTAGATCAGTGACACAAGTGGTTGTTTTCCGGTAGAATTTGTGCATTAAGATTAGATAAATTTTACTGGTAATTAAATTGCTTAATTTTCAAAATAGTGGGTTTAATTTGCTGCAATTAATAGTAAGAGGGCAGAGGGCTAATTTGTACATAGTACTCAAGTATTGGGGCTCATTTGCCACATATTCCTAAATGTTACTAACAACCCTTTGAAAAACAGATTAATACAGGGAGAGGTAAGAATTCCCTTATGGCCTGTTTGGATAAGGGGATTTCATTTGAAATTCTTATTTGGGCCAAATGGCCTGTTTGGATAATACAAGCATTTGGATTTGTATTTGGGTCAAATCCATGCAAATCCAAGCCTTTACAAAATTAAGTCCAACTCAATAATTTACAAATTCCATCTCACATATTGTCATTTCAAATTATTTACTTGCCCTAATTTTCTCTCTCCTAGTCTATTCTATTCACGATGCTGCTCCATTTTCTCCTCCTCCATTGAAGCAGCTCCATTTTCTCTCTCCTTCATTGAAGCGGCGCGTGTGAGCTTCCATCATTGAACCGGTTTGTGAGCTTTTATCCTCCATTGAATTAGCTTTTGAGGTAATTCTTCTTAACTAATCGAAAATCAATTTCATAATCTAGGGTTTATCGATTATACACATTTTCTATTTCAAAATTTCGGGTTTATCAATTAAAATCAATTTCATAATCTAGGGTTTATCGGTTATGTGGTACAATTTGTGTTTTTGTTTCTTTTTATTATAGAAATAGTTGATTTGTTGTTTAATTTGCAATTTGGTTGTTCAATTTCATATTTTAATGCTTGATTTGTTGTTGTATGTTGCTGCTTTCTGCTTGTAATCTACTTTAATTTATGTTTTTATTATTTAAACGACATGTATGTTGTTGCATGTTTGAATTCTGCTTGTATGTTGCTGTAATACTTTGATTATGAACTTGTATGTTGCTTCTTGTATGAACTTGAAAGAGCTTGTGCTTTATATCTATTTGATCTAAAGTATGGAGTATGCATAATGTTACTGATATGACCAAATTGAGGGTTGTATAAGGTCATATCACTATTACAATACATTTCTAATAATTAAATATACGGAGACAGTAAGTTCAAGCTAAGAGAAATACATTTCTAATAACTGTCCTACTTTACCTAAATGTGCTGCTTGCCTTGCTGTTTATACAAAGTAACTCAAAAGAACAACAGGGCCTTGTTGTATTAATAGGCAGGGTATTGGACAACTATTAAAATGTGCTACGTAAATAATAATTTCAAACCATACATGTTCCTAATTTCTTAAAATCTATAAATTTTTCACATGAGAAGTATAATGTGACAGCATGATTATTATAAAGTATGGAGTATAATAAATGAAGATAGCATAAGAAGGAATTTTGTGCTACTTGCCTCTCCGTTCAAGTGTGTGCCTCTTTCATTTTGTTTACTTGATTTGCTTGAGTTGTTTGAAATTTGGCTTCACTAGATAAACTCAGTTTAGTTAAATTTGGCTTGAATGTTTTAGGATGTCTGATTTGAATATACAAGAGTCACGTAAGCGCCCAAGGGATGATGATGATGAAATGGACTTAGTTGTGATGGTTTTAGGTTTTATTATGGTAGTAGTAGGAGCATGGTATGGTAAGAAATATAGATTAAAGGAGATAACATGGAATGAATCCGAGCGTGCTAGAACAAGAGCTACATGGATGAACACTTTGAGGAATGATTAGGAATTTTAGGATTTATGAAGTGGATATAAGTTCAGCGGTTTGAAATGTTGTTTAAGTATTTAGATTAATGAACTTGAAAGATGGTTCATGTACTTCCTCTGAGCAACATCTTATTCATTTTTTATGCCGATCACCTGTCTGTTGTATTACCTTGAAGAAAGTTTTTGATTTGTTTGTCTTATAGCAGCAATAAGTATGATTACATCAGTTCTATCATTTTCTCTTCCAATCTTCTCAAAGTCTACCAGATCATATTTTTTTGCCTAACTGCTTTAATAATATGACATATTGCAGGAAAATTATAATATTATGTAATCTATGTCAAACCATTTTATACAAAAAACAATCATAATATTATAAAAGTGTTGAAATCAATAGATGTTAAAGGCTAGCAACTGACTTATATTCAGTGAGGAGGAATGGTTTACAGCTTGCAATTATCAGTTATTTGCTCAACAAGAACAAAATGAGTTAAGTGGTTCAAAGTTACTGCTATTCTGCAATACTGCTATATTGTTTCCCTGTTACTGCTATAATGCCCTGTTACTGCTATACTTCCCTGTTACTGCAATACTTAGAATATGGCATTTGTAATCTGAATTTGTATGATCTTCTTTTGTTAACAGGAAACGCCTGCTGCATCTGCATATCAAAACAAATGCATCGAGAATTGGGATGACATTTGTACCTTGTTTGCACCTGATAGAGCAATAGGAGATGGTGCTGAGCAACATGAAGAAGCTGCTGCAGCAATGGAGAATGAAAATGATAATGCAAGTACATCAGAAACGGCTTCCGGAGATTCAAATAAAAGGTTAAAAAGGGATCGTCTTGCAGATGCTGTGAGTAGCTTTGCTGAATCTTTCAAGGAGTACGTGAGTAAATCAACAAGGCCAACTAGTCAAGAAATCTACAAGGAAGTGTGTAGTGTACTTGGAATATCTCGACACCAAGCTTTGAGGGCGGTTAAGAGATTCTTAAATGGCACATTCGAGGAATTTGACATGCTGAAAAATTTACCCGATGATCAAAAATTAGATTGGATCATTTTGTGTAATGATGAGTAGTAGTGTTGTAAGTTAAGAGATAATTAGAGTTAAGTTGGAACTTAGGTATTGAAATTTAGAATTTGGAATTCCATTGTTTCCCAAACAACAACTAGAATTTGAAATTCTAGAATTGAAATTCTCTTGTTTCCCAAACAAGTATTTGAATTTGAAATCCTAAATTTGAAATTATCATATTTCCCAAACAAATGATTTGAATTTGAAATGTAGAATTTCAATTTCGGAATTTGGATTTTATTATTTGAAATGAAATCCGCATATCCAAACGCAAGGTTACGTAGTTTAGTAAGCGACTCGCAAAACTCTTAATTCTAACACTAAGCTAGATTTGGTGAATATTAGTTGGCCTCGCAACACCCTTAATTCAAACACTAAGCTAGGTTTGGTGAATTTTAGTTGGCCTTAGGTGTAATAGGACTTTTTGTACAAGGCAAACAAAACAACTCATGCAACACATGAGCTTTAATAATTCATTTGAGCTTCTAAGCAAAGTAGATCTCAACAGAGCGAATCACGTGTGAACAGAGCAATTATTAATACTCAGGAGAGCAAAGCATGGCTGAATAAATTTCAGCAGAGTAGACCACAGTAGCTCAAAAGAACAAGCACTAAGAGTATTTATGATCAAAGTCACATGTTACCAGAAGTATACATCGAACTGTTGGATTTTTAGATTTTTAGGAAGACAAGTGAGATGAATTATTACTCAGGTGTAACCGTGTAAGTCATATACTCCACAGCACATTGCTTTAGATTGATAAACTAACATGTAGAAAACTATATTGAGTGTGGGGAAACATGATACAACCTTATATCAGTTTTACAAAATTTGTAGGTACAATGAAGAGACAAGAACGCCTAAAATCACACAAGGAATACACACCAAAAGGCAGAAAAACCCTCTGAATATCTACTTTAGCAACCCAAGAACGCATCCTGAACTTCACTGCTTCGCACATATCTTTCAGCAGTAATCTTGAATTCGAGTATTCAAGGGTCTGCAAGCACCATCATACAATGAGTTTATCCTCACATCCACATGAAGGGGCTTTAAACTCATTGGAATCTGCCAAAGCTCAAAACTTTTGCGGAAAGAAGCACTTCATCCATCTCTGATAACATCATTCAGCGCAGTGTACATTTGATCATCTCCGACGACGGATCGGTGATCTTGACTTTGACTTTGACCTTGACCTAGATCTTGACCTTCTCCCCCTGCGTAGAAATTTTAAAATTATGACAATTTGTGCAGCTTTATAATAATTGGCAGACTTTACCTTCACCTACACTAATCAGTGTTAGTAATACACAGTTTTCTCCTATTACATACGTATTATACTGCTGTCACCCCAAAATAAATACAATATAATGATAACTAAAAAGCTGATCTTTTACAGTTGTTCCCCTTTCTTCTGGTTTCTGCTTTTTATTCGGTTTTGCAACAGATAACTAAAAAGGACTAAAGAAGTTTAAACATCACACCAAAGCATACCTGCTATCGTCAAGAGAAGGGTAAGGAGAATGCCTGCGCTGTGAATGCTTGCTATGAGGAGACCGTGAAACTTGTCTAAAAATGAAAACATCCATTATACAGATCCCAAGAGCAATGTCTTTATATATAAGACATGACGCTAAGCCTTAATCACTACAGGACTAATAAAGAACAAGCACCCTTGAAATGAACATTGGCTTATCGACAGGAAACTGAACCGTCTACACTCTACAGGTAAAAGGAGAAGGGTGTTTACTGTTTACTATGTCACTTGGAAGACTCTAAAAGCATGAAGTTAAGTGCCATACTAAATAAACATAAGACAAGCCAAGACGTTACTTTCCAATGCACCCTGGATAGCGTGCAAAGGCTACATAATCACTTTCATATAGCATTATGTCCTAACCCCAGCAAACATACATGCACGCAATGCTGAGAGAGAGAGAGAGACTCCTACGGAGGCAGATTCACCCTACCCTTACTAGTCAAAGATTATAGGAGAGACCCATAAGAAAATCTAATCCCAAATGAAAAGCAAAAATTGCAAGTACAAGCCAAAGCTACTGGTCAAGCAAAACATATCAATGCGACAATACTAGTTGACATTTAATAAATTGAATATTAAAAGAATATGGTTAGCAATGTTAAAATAAAAACTGTAGTCATGATGTAACATTAGCAACAGTAGCAGCAACCACAGGAGTACAGTACAACCTACAACCACAGGTAGTGAGGTAGATAGGGTAAAAAAAAGGTACACAAACGTACAAATAACAATATAAGTCCTGATAAGTAAACAAAAATATACAGGCACAAGGTATCAGTGAGAGGAAAGTGGCCAACCACTTTAGGAATTTCAAAATAAAAATTGAAATTTATGTTATACTTGTGAGTTTTATCATGATTACAGCAATATCTCGCAGAAACACTGTAGCCAGATACAGAGTACTAATCAATTAATTGACATACATATCAGTATATCACAACATTTTACACACTCAGTTTTGCTATTAGCCAAGAAAAAGCATTTGAAGAACAAAGATTCAACAAGAACTACAATGCAACACAATGCTAAACTTAAGGCAGTTTAGCAAGAGTTACATCAGTCGTCAATGCACTAGGATTTTATTTTGATTTATCAAGCTTAAATTGAGCCAACCAAGATAGCATAAAAAATGAACACCAACCGCACAAGCTTGTGCAAAATCTAATAAGCATACATCACATTTTTGTATTAAACCAAATCTCTTGTATGTAAGAGACATGTGGACAGTATATGACAAAGCATATAAGACAAACTCCAATTATCTATTTCTACAACCACATAGCAACCCAGGTATAGACAGTTACACAAGAGTTCGAATCAAAGTTTCATTTCAGCTACAATAGTTAAACAGGAAACTGTATCAAAATTGTATCCAGAAATAATTCCCTTTCAGATGCCAAGCAAATCTTGAATTATGCTAAAAAGAGGAAAAACAAGAAAAGAAATTGGCAGTTCCATGGTAAGATTGTTGTGAGGTACTGTATAACAGAGGTGACTTATTTAAGGAAAAATAGAACACTTAAGTTTCTAATTCATCTTGGGTACTACATATGGGATTCATCATTCAAGAGGAGGGACAAAAGTTGCTGCTTAAGTTCTCAGATCCATCAAGATACATATGCTCTATCAAATACAAATCGGTTATCAAATTAAATCAGCAGAAAATACTTCAGAGAAAAAGCAGCCAATAATTCCAAGAAAATTACCACATCCAAATGCACTCTCCTTTATATAGGAAATCAGTAACCCAAGGAAAATCTTATACACGTTCAACATTCAAAATGATAATAAATATAAAAAGATACACTTAGGGATATGTATGACGTAGAAACCATTTGGTACATACCTTCGCTTAGACCTGACAGGAGAAGGAGACAAATTACGCCTTTTTGAATGAACCTTCCTGTAATATAAAACAAAATAATGTTACAAAATACAAATGAGCAATGGCAAGTACCAGAGACACAGGAGGGGGATAATAGAAGGGTACTTAATCAACCTTTTAGAGTCGTTAGAGGCATCATCATCAGAACCATCTGAAGCTACTCCGCTTTCCTCATTTTTCCTACCTCTACCAACTGATGAGGAACGCCTTCGTTTGTGCCTACTTGCATCACTTGAGGACTTGTGTCTTGATTTATCACCTTTATCATCCTTTGTTCTCTCTTTTTTCTTGTCAGCATCATCTTTACCGCTTCTCTTCCTGTCTCTCTCCCTTTCTTTTTTGCCATCCTTGTCTTCGTGGTGAGGAGACCTTCTAGAATCTGATTCCCTTGTTTTCTCCGTGTGTTTATCATCTTTCTCTTTCGACCTCTCTCTTGAAATATTATAATCCTCTGTTTTATCCTTCTTTTGACGCTTTGGATCTCGTCTACCACGAGTCTCCTCCTTCCCAGCTTCCCTTTCCTTACCAACCTCTTTCTCCTTATAACTTTCTTTTCCAGATGAGCTCCTCTTACTTTCATGTCTATCACGTCTTTTGGCATCTCTTTCCTGGGTATCATCTTTGGCTGAATTTCTCACATATTCTTTCTCAGTGAGAACATCTGGCCCACTTAAAGTTGCTTTGCGACCACTATCTATTAAATTAGCAGATTCAGACTTAACAATAGATTGTTCATCAGCAACAACACCATCACCTTTCCTACCCACAGACACGGAACTTCTAGAAGAGGATTGCTGAACCTCTTTATTCAACTTAGAAGCAGGAAAATCATGGTTGCCATTACTACGATCACCTTCAGAAGCAGCCACATGTTTTCTGTAGTCTTCAAGTTCTGGCTGTCGGTGACCATTCTCTCCAGCTACTTTGTCAGACTTGGACATGCTTGAAGTCTGGTATTCATCTTCATCATCAGAGGAATAATTTGCCAGGCCTAAAACATTCCCATCCCCAGGAGTACCAGAACTAGAGTCTCCACTAACAAGTCCCTCGGATGCTTTTGCTTTTACAGGAATAAGGACCTTAGCAGAAGCCTTAAGAGCTGGAACAGTTGGACGTGGTGGTGATGTTTTGAGAATTGGAACATGGTTCTCAGGTCTAGCCAAAGCTGTTAGAAACAGCACCAAATCAAAGGGCCAAGATGTCAGGTAAATATCGTAATAGATGGGAAAAAAAACACATGTGCATGCAAGCATCATAACAATTACCATCAGCAGCAAGATCATCTTCACTAAGTACTTTTGTGGCAATTTCATCAAAAAGCTCATCAGTTACCTATGTGCACAATGAAAAAGTCAATAAACCCAGAAACATGAAAATGAAGACAACTTTCAACTCCCATAGCAACCTTCAAGAGAACTTCAGTCAAAACACGTTTTATTTCCTGGTTGATGGCAGCAGTTTTCTGTACTTCTTCATAGTCCTAAGAGAAAGAAATCATTTTAAAATCAATAACATCAGGTCAAGACTAGTTAACATGATGCTGAACACTTTTAACCTGCTTAAAACAAACACAGGATATACCTCATCCTCCTCTTCAGCTGACTTAGCTGAATCCATGCTTTTACTGTCTGCCTGATCACCCTTCGCTGTCGACTTATCAATAATTTCATCTTCGTTTGATTGACTTTCCTCTTTAAAGGGCTTTGGTGCCGAACTTGTAATTGTTGCTTTATTCTTAATTATTTCCTCTCTTAGCCAGTTAGGCACTGCAGCCTAACAAGAACAAAAAAAGAGAAAATATGACTAAAATTTCTCAAATAAATAACAAAATTGACCCTTGTCAGAACAAAAGAAAATGCCTTTTTAGGACGATCAGAACTCAACGAAGCCCCATACGCATCAATGGGAAAAGCTGCAGTAGAATGAAGAGAACCTCCTGCACCCAAACCAACAGGTGAAGTAATGGATGGAACCGTTGGCTGAAAGCTTGGGCCTCGTCCAAACATAGGCGCAGGATGTCCAGGAAGTGGAGGTATACCTATAGACGGATCATGCTGCAATAATTTTAAAAAATAAGCCTATATTTAAGCAGATACTTAAAAAGTATACATAAAAAATGTCATAAGCTTATATCTAAGCAGATATTTAAAAGTAAACATATAAAAATGTCAAATCAAAGACCTGTGATGCTGACGGAAATGCAGGTGTAATAGGTGGATAGGATATGCCTGGTGTAACAGGAGCAGACCAGGCATGCAAAGAAGGCACAGCAGTAAAAGAATCTGTTCCTCTTACAGGACCTGATGAATCAGGATAGCCGGATTGCATCTTTGAATCACTTTCATGATTGTATCTTGGAGCAAAGCTAAGAGGTTGATCCATTGGATCCATTGCATGATTTCCATACGCAAACCGAGTATGATCCATCGGTACTGACCTACCATCAGCAGGAAGCAATGGATGTCCATGTTGCTGTCCCTGAGAGCCATCTTCCTTACCTGCCACATGTTTTGTAATCAACCAGCTGACAATATGACTTCAAATTCACACTAATATGCACTCATACTCTGCTTAAACCATCCTTTATGAGATGGGATAGAGATTTTACATTATAGCCAGAAATTTAGATATTGTTTTAAACTTGTAATGCATCTTTTAAACTACAGGCATAGCTTATTCTAGGTCATACCACTCTAAACACTAAAAAGGTTAAAACACCTCAATAGTCGCATCAGTAATACAGGCAAGCATCTGACAGTTGTATGCTTTATGAAATAGCTAAAATAAGACCTGGAGGAGTATGTAAGTGTAACTGTATCCTACATAACTGAATAAATTTGGAAAGCTTATAAACAATCAGAAGAATGAACTACACTGAATAATATATTTTTAACAAAAAAAAAGTTAAAAGGCAGCGTTGCATTGTTCTGTAATCCCAGAGAAGTGGCATTGCATCATTAATATACGAAGAACACCAAAACATCAAGACATAATTTAAAGGTGGTCTTCTTGAACAATGTGATTCATAAACTCTGCACAAAGACCTTCAATTCATAAAATGGTTCTTAAATGTCCTCTTCTGAGCCATTAGCTAAAAATCCAACATGTGGTTAAAGAGTAGTAGCTAGGATTTGAGTAGCCAGTCTTGTCATAGCTTTAGGCATAATCGTTCATGTGAGCTACTTCACATGAAAACACAAAACTCCAAGTTAATAATTACCTGGAACAGAAGAATAACTAGAAGGTACCTCCTGCTGATGAACAAAAGAACTTGTTGATCCTTGATGGCGAGGAAATGCAGCACTCATATCTCCACCAAGAGCTCCATCTTTAGTAGCGTATGAGAGATGCACATCTGGGGCATATGAACTGAAGGATGCAGGCTCCTGCTGATGAACCGTCGGTTGTCTATTTATAGGTGCAGCTGATCCTTGATAATTCTGATAGCCAGATGAGGGATAGGAAGCTTGCTGAGCATCTTGATAATGAGATTCAACAGGTTGGGCATACTGGTTTGCATAGTGCGATGGCTCTTCTTGCCGTACCACTGACGTGAACTGTGCCTGTTGAGGCTGACTTTCCATTGCAGACCTGGCAGATGCCCAAGCCCTTGCCTTGGCTTCCCAGTCTTCTTCATTTGCATGGGCTGTTTCATAGGAATAAAATCATTAAAGAGATGTCACCTAAGCTTATTTTGTCTGAACTTATTTACACAATAGAAAACTTTATATGTGAGAGTTTCATAACTTGATTTTCACTGTTGCTTATTGCTGAACTTGTCTGGAATTATTTAATTTAAACTTATCTGAAATCATCAAAACTTATATTGTCTTTATAAGTCAGAAGAAGTTGGACAGAACGGGACCAACGTACAAATAAACACTGCTAAAGAAGGTAAGAGCTGATATTAAGTTCATGAAAAGAAAAAAAAAAAAGGAAAACATTAGAGCCTAGAGGTTGAAGGTATAGTATGTCTATCTACAATCCTAAACATGAATCCTGATAAGATAAAGTTCCCAATGAAAAGACAATGAATATGGCCAATATAAATGCAATAGTGCAATACAATTAAGAATTGGACTATAGAAAAACATAAACAACTAATTATGCCCCTTTAGTAGTAGCCAAATTCACATAAGCATATTGCTGAAGGCATTGCAGAAGAAACATCTGACCATGCGGTAACTATCATAACCAAAGGAGACCAAAACTCAAGTAAAAAAAAAGTAATTAGGCATCAGAGTAACAAGATCGTTTACCTGGATATTCCCAACCTGCATGATGGTTCCAATTTGCATTTGTCCAATCCTGTAAATGTATAAAAAAAAACAATTAACAACTACTGGCAGTAAAAGAGTTATAATCATCACTCCAAGTCTAAATGAAACAGCTACATCTTCCAGTGAGAGTAAAACACGTTGGCCAGATGAAGAGGTATGCAAAACATCACTCTGTCCAATGCATAGCTGAGGTGTCATCAGGCCAAATTATCAATATAGCACTAAGTTACCTTCTCGATTTTTCCTTTCTTCCAGACTAAAAAAAGCAAGAGGCTAACAGGTGCTCATGGTATAGAACCACTAAACTGATAGTTTTGTAAATAAATTCAAACCAGCTCATTATTACATGTCTACATGATACAGCTAAATCTTAGGTGAAAGTAAAACATGTTGACCGGATGAAGAAGCATGCAAAACATTACTCTGCCCATTGCATAACTGAGGTGTCATCAGGCCAAATTATCAATATAGCACCAAGTTACCTTCTCGCTTTTTCCTTGCTTCTAGACTTAAAGAAGCAAGGGGCTAACAGGTGCGCGTGGTTCACCCTACAGTTTAACACCCTAAAATTTGACTCAATCACCATGTCCAACTATGGTAACAAGAAATCAAGCAAAATGTCCCTTACAAAAACTTATCATCTCGATAATATATGCAGCTACAATCGTCAATTCATTGAGCTTAATAACTCCAATCGCTTTTAACAAAAACTTCCATGCCGGTAAGACATGAAAAAACTTATCTCTAATCACTATCATCATATATTTCAGAGCTAAAATAAAAAATTACAGGATATCATATATTCTTCACAAGTCCTCGAACAAAGGCAACAACATTCGAGATTCAAAAATGTCGATTTATAACATTAACCCACAAAAACCATAGTAGTATACTAGTATACATAAACAATCAACCATAAAAGGAAGATAATTTAACAAAATGTCTATTAGAAATCCACACAGTTCAATAAAATTACAATATTCTCATATTCCTAAAAACGATTCCAATCAAAACAAAACAGCTTAGCTTAAACAATTCCAAGAAACCCTTAACAAAAAGAAAACCTACACTAAAATCAACTACACCCTAATTTAAATCAACCCCAAAAAACCCTAAAAATCAAAAACCCTAGAAAAAGAAAAACATACCTGATGCTGGTAAGGAGGAAGAGGGGGTGCTTGAGAAGGACGAGGGGGAGGCGGCGGCGGAGGAGGGTAAGCTTGCGCAGGAAAAGGCTGGTGAGAGTGCCCGGAATACGGCGGCGGCGGAGGTGGTGGGCCCCACTGATTCTGCTGCTGCGGCGGCGGAGGAGGGGAAGGAGAGTGAGAAGGGTGGTATTGAAATTGGCCGGAATACCAGGAGTTTGCCGGCGGAGGAGGAGGCGGTGCTTGATTGTGGTGAGGAAAATGGGGATCCGCCGCCATTGACGGCGGCGCTTGAGGTTGTGGCGGCGGTGGAGGAGGTGGTCTCATGTAATGGTGGTGCGGTTGATGGTAGGACTCCATTTTTATTTTCTCTCTCCTCTATTCTTTCGTTTCTCTCTGATATATGAATATGATGCAATTCTATTTGATTTGGGGGAAGAAGTGTCGCGCTTTTTTGAGGAGAGGAAGATTATTTTTTTCTCAAATTAATTTTTTGGCTTTTGGTCTGTTGCTTTATATTTCCGTCGCTTTCTAGTGATGACGCAACATAAGGGATTTAAACCGAGTTTTGGATATCACCACCCTAATTTTTACGAGGGAGCCCCAGTTTATTACCATGATAAATGAAATTTGATGATATAATGAAAATTCAGTAAATATTTTGCTTTGTTTTCCGTGAAATGACTTTAAAAAATATATTTCTACTCAGTTGGTAGGTGGCACTTATGGACCACAATTAACGCCAAGTTAACGAGGGCGTTAACTCTAGAAGACCAAGTATACATCGTCTTTCAAACTCTCCTTATTTTCTCTCTCATCTGTCATTGAAGTCAATGATGAAGCTTCCACCGCCATTGATCGATCTCTTGATTGGACGACTTCTTCTTCAACTATTTGATTTCCGACAACATTTAAGCTAATTAATCTTGTTACAAATTCAGCTAAAAAACAAATGAATCTGGAACAATAAAATTGAATTGAATTCTCAAAAATTCAGATTGGTATTTTTTCATTATTTTTTGTCCTTTGCTTCTTCCTACTCCATCTTCTTCATCCTTCATTCCTCCACCTTCTTCTTGCTTTCTTGCTCGTGAACACCATGTTACTACCACAATTTTGGCGAAAACGAAAACCCCAGTTGAAAAAGGTGAAAAGAGGAAAGGGTTACATCCTCCTGCCCAAATTTAATGAATTTTAATTGCCCAACTTCAATGGTGAGTGCTCCGATCTTAATTTTGTGATAGAGGAGAGCAATGTTCAGCTTTAAATTTACAAGAGAGAAATTTTTTTCTTTCTGAAAGAACAGGAGAGAAAACTAAAGAAGGAAAGAGAAAATGTTCAGAATATAACCAGAAGAGAGAGAAAATGTCATTTTTGCCTTGAAATTTTCAAATGAAATTACATCAAAACCCCTTGATAAACAAAACTTGTTTCTCATTCTGATAAACTTGAATTTGCTCAATTTTTACTCGTTCCAGTTAAGGTGGTCGATATATACTTTGTCTATCCATTATTTTGAATCAGCAGGAATTCAAATTAGTTAAATCAATTCGACTAGCTAAAATCAATGCAAACCAAATGGGTTTGGTACTTTGGTTCAAGTATGATTTGAATAGTTTAACCACTAGGTTAAGCTTTAGTTTATTAAACCCTTTTATTTTACCCACAATTAAGCTAGGTTGAAGTGTTGAACCATGGGCTAATGGTAATGGTCATAGTTCATCAAATTGCAAAATCATTCTGTCTATTCTGATATGGTAAGTTATAAGACCACAAATTATGAGTTAATCTTAAAGTTCTGATAAATTTGATAAAAGTTAAATTCCATATTCAATATCCAACATACAATGTTACAAGGAGAATTCAAAGGCACAAGAAGGTGCAAATGCTCTAATTGAAGTAATATTGTATAATGTACACTTGCAAGTTAATCAAATTCCAGATTGAACTAACTAGTTTTTATATATAGGATTATTAGTACACGAGGATATAAGAATTGGAAGGAAAAACAATATATGTCGCAGCTACATCAAAAAATTGAGCTGCGCCTTTTAAGCCATGTTGACAAATTATGGTCGCCGCCATCATCAACCCACCAAAGCACCAATGCACAATTTCTTCATTGGATCTGTTACATGAAAATATTGACTTTTGCCAAATTCACTGATCAGCAGCAGAACAGTTTGCTTCAACCTCTCGTGGGTTGTGACTGCAGTAGAAGACTACTGTTAAGAAAGGTAAAACAGTGCACCAATGTGCTCTGTACTTCATAGCAAGTAACTTTCATGGAATTGCTCAATGCTTCAAGCGACAGCATCTGCTTGTTTACGGGTTAATCTTGCATACAAGCCATCCTTTAGAAGAAGCTCCTTGTGACAACCCACCTACACAGATAAAAGTCGTAAATACAACCACAGAAGAATAAAATTGATATCACTTTTGGACACCAAAAAGATAATTTTTTTCACATAAAAGTTCACCTACAGCTACAGTTTCCTATAGGTCAATCTGCATTTGCAATTAAAGATTTTCATCTCATCAACTTTCTACCATTACTTGGTGGGAAATTTGGAACATTGTGCCAAATAAGACATATTATACATTAGAAAGCTTCAAATCAGAGGCTTGAGAATCAAGATCATCAATCATTTATGACATGACCTACCTCGACAATATGACCACCACTCATCACTACTATCTTGTCAGCAGCTTGTATTGTGGAAAGCCTGCATAAATGGAGCATCATATTCAACACAGTGAGAAGCCATGAAACTGTGTACGATCACTTTTCATTAAAGGCTTATAGGTGAAAGACAGACCTATGTGCAATTACTATGACTGTTCTCTTCGATCGCGAGTCATTTTTTTACTGCACGAAGAACGCCCTGCATACAAAATGATATATTAATAGCCATGTCAAAATACCCTCCTTTCATATTCTTTTTCCCTTTTTTTTTTAAGTAAGCAGAGTATAATCAGCCTACGAGGTCTAGGGAATGAAAGTCTTATAGAGGACTGAAGCGAATTGAAAAAGAAAAAGAAAGATTGAGACAAAGAGGAAATCTAATATAGCTACTCAGAGCCTACCAAGGATTTATCAATTTTTTTGTTTCAAGGAACTCATGATAAATCCCACGGTTGAGTTACACACAAACCTTGATATTGTGTTCGCTTTCTGCATCCAAGGCACTAGTAGCTTCATCGAGAATCAAAATGGCTGGATCTCTAACGATAGCTCGAGCAATAGCAATCCGTTGTTTTTGTCCACCGCTGAGCAGATCATCATCAACAATGGTATTATAACCATTGGGCAAGGATGAGATAAAGTCATGAGCAAAAGCTTGCTTAGCAGCCCACTCAACATCTTCTTGTGTGACCTCTCTGGGACACCCGTATCTAATGTTTGAGCTTATGTCCATTCGGAAAAGCCGAGGTTCCTGTTCAAAAAATGTGTGAGCATGGTGAATTTTGAAAACTATATCTCTATTACCACACAGGCAGGTTACTGGTTGCCTGGCTGATCCATCAAGCTTTAACTCAAAAGTGCAAGACAAAAACCTGGCCCACATATCCCATCCTTGCTCTCAACCATTGAGCGTCTAACTTCTTAAGAGGAAAGCCATCAATTAATATCTGCAGAAAAGGAAAAGACAAGAGAAAAAGATATTCTTTTGAGAGAGTGTAAAACTTTGGTATGAGAGAGAGGAAGCATACGGAATCTAAGATACACATACCTCACCACCAGTTGGCTCATAAAGACGTAGAAGCAGATTCACAATTGTGCTTTTACCACTGCCACTAAGACCAACCTGACAAAATAACTTGATTTAAAATGGGTCCTTAATGTCATTATGCAGCCAGGAAATCAAAGCTTTGTTAGTAGTCCCTTTCAAATGCTGATGAGCTATTGGTTCATTGTTCAAGTGTTTGCACAAGCCCCTGGCTCCTCCACTCCTAATGTCAGCTTATCAGGACTATGTTGGGTGGGGGAGTGGGGACAAACTGCCTACTAGGGCCCAACTAGGTCCAGGGAAATTGAAAACTTCTGTGTTCAAGCCTGGAAAACATGAAAAGCAAGACTACAAGTCTGTGATTGATTGGACTAAGTGGAAGAACCAATGGGTGGCAGGGACCCTAGCCCCTCCAGAATGGGCTCCACGCTCGACGCTCCAGTAGTTTTTCTCCCCCTAGAAGGGATTATTGGTAATAGCTTATAAATTTTAACGTCACAAGCAGATCATTGATTATGTGGTTTTTACTTTCCCCTTTTTACTCCAAAAAAGGTAGTTGTATTTAGAAAGGAAAAAAAAAAAAAAAAAAACAACAACAACAACAATAACAAAGAATTTAAACACGTTGTTAACACCAAAGTACCAAAAAAATATTAATAAGAAAAATGAAAAAGAAGAATTGAGTAGTCCCTTACTATAGCAATAACTTCATTTGGGTGCATGGACACATTTATGCCTTCTACTACATGTACCTGTTTAAACTTAGCATGTTAGTCACATAGAATAGTGCAAGCAGCTAAAATAAGAGCTGGAAACATTCAGGTTGCAATTGACAAATCATTACAAGGAGCTAAACTATGGAATTTTGTAATCTATATTACAGTTCTGAGATACTTGAAACCTACTTTTCTGATCTTTAAACTAGATTATTTTGTATTATACCAAATGGTTCAAGCAATTTAGTGATAGAGAATATAATTTGGAAGAGATGGCAACAAAAAAGAAGAATAGACCACAGCTAATTTCTCAAAATATGAAAGACAATTTACCCAAAAACAGCATCTACAAATTTTCACAAGTCATCTAAGCTACAATAGAGAGATCCTGCATATTTGCTTATTTCCATGATCTCAAGACACAACTCTCAAAGTTCCACATATCATCCAACCAACATCAGCATATAATAGCATATGCACAGTGTTAGACAATTCAGGACACTACCAGTGTTAGTGATTATGTGCTAACCGAGCAGTAGGATTGAACATACCTCAGGCCTTGTCGGATAGGAAAAGGAGACATCCACAAAATCAATATGCCCAGTCAGTTTTTGCAGTTTCAATCCTGCATCATGTTTCCAAAAATAGAAATAGTAAATAACTACTAATAATAAGTGATCACATATTTACATATAAGAGCAGAAAGGGTTTAAGCATAGAAGAAACACGAGTTGCATGCTTTATTTTCTTATAAAAAGTGAGATGGATAGCCAAGCAACTAATACATGTCAAGCAAAAAGGATCACAAAATCCACAATAGTGAATGTTGATATGAGAGGTCCGGATTTAGAATGCGTAAAGCCATTATATCATAAGAGCACAATTATTTAAGTGGTCTCAGTTTTAAAGTGCAACCAAGGATTCAATGGGGCAAGGAGAGCATGTCAGGACCAAGTTCAGAAAGCAAAATATTGAATGTATCGATCTGAGAGTCCAGAATCCAGATACTTAAGATCCTGGTAAATTTTGTGCTCCTTTATTCTATACATATCTAATTTTCTGACCAAGAAAAACCTTAAATATGATAAACTACCTTCCGAGACGAACTGTTCACTAGGCACAAGATCCATCAGCTGAAATACTTTTTCACTTGCTCCCACAGACTGCATTAATGATGATACATTATCCCCTATCCACCAAGTGGAATAGATTAGCCATTCACTATATAAAAGAAACTTAGTTAGTTGTTCAGCTGATAGACGACCGGCCAGAATAGACATTCCCCCAACCAGCACAGCGATGACCTAAAAAGTGAAAAGATATATGTCAGTTTTCACAATACTAAGAATTAAGGCTTATAATGTTAAGAAAAAAGATAATCTGACACTGTTGTGAGCCATTACCACAAACAGCAGTTTTTACTCAAAGGACATGACTTCAAGTTTTTACTCCAAGGGCATGGCTTCAAGACTAGGGCTACGTTCTGTTCAACTTGATTAAGTAAATATTTTCTTTTTATCCGAAGTGATCATATTAGATCAAACCAGATCATTTTAATTGTGTTTGTTCAGCACAAAAATTAATTCCGTGGTCAAAAAATATAAGAAAAATCATTTTTGGAAAGTACACATAAATACATCCCATTAACTAACATTTAATTAGGATTTATATACATATAGTGGATGATCAACTAGGTCAAAGTCTTGAGGGGTGGTACCCAAGACCTGGGATCAAATCCCGTCTACATCATTTGCCCTTTTGGCTCTCTCTACACCCAAAAAAAAATGTACATATAAACTCGAAGCTTGGTCAAATCAGGAAATCACATCAGATCAAGTAAGGTTAACTGCACATAGCCTTGAAGTAGAATTGTGGTATGAGAGCAAAATGTGATAGACACCAATAGACAAAAGCAACCAGCAAAGTGTACCAGAATTTTTAAATCAACTCAGCCCAAAGTTAAGAACAAGCATTCAAACAATAAATAGCCAAAAGGTATGCACTATGCAGTGTTATCCAATGTTACAATCTGAGATCAGCATCTTGTTAGACAATGCTTGTGTTTTCCCTTCATTATTTTATCCAATCATATCAATAATCAGAAAAGTAATGCTGCGCAGCTAGGTCCAAAATGGTTTTTGTTGTATACAAAATGCCAACGATTTTCCAAATCACACAAACATAAAAGTGGTCAAGCATAAGTTGAATAGTTTCTACATAAAAAATAAAAATTGTGCCAAACCTGCGTTGAGTGATAAAGAGTATTGAAGCTGACATTCCAAAGTCCATATGCAGCACTTTGTCGTAAGCTGATACCTGCTAATCTTTCCAGCCACACCTCATACCTATCCACAATTAAATGTAGCTCATTTGTTTAGCATACACACAGCCTGGTTTAATTTTTTATCCAAGAATACCCACCTTCCTAATTCTCGCTCTTCTGTGCCATAAACTCTAACAGTTCGCATCAAAGAAAGTGTCTCTTGAGCGACCTATGTCCCAAAAAAACTGTGTAAGAAGATGTTAACAGGAAAAAAAACAAGAAGAATTATGGCCATTAGTCGCATTACATCGTTGGCAGAGGCAGTGTACTCCTGGGTCAGCTTTGCTGCCTTCTTCTGATACCTGTAAGACAGATTTCAGATCCTTTCTCACAAAAAAGTGACAAAGCTGTTTAAATCTGAATGAAAACATGCATAACCCAAGTCCAAATCATGGCCCACTAATCATGATTAATATACCACCTCTTCTGAGTCACTTAGGTTGGTAGGTGTGATATTAAAATTAAATTTCCAATCACATGGTGAGGAATATAAGAGGAGAGGGGTGTGTTGAGACTCAAATTTTTTAGTGGTCACAAAAGACCATGAAAGGACAAGTCAGATCCTCATTCCAACAAATAAATGAATAGATCAGCATAAGGTCATCTGTCAGACTAGAAATGCACTCCAGAAATATGTTGAAGTTTTTTTATCTCAGGGTCTCTAGACTCTCTAGTCTCTACTTCTCTGGTGAAATTTAAATTTAGGTAAGCAAGGAAAGTATCCTAAAAGGGAATATTTTCAAGAGAAATCAATTCTCTTTTCTTTTCACTATGTATTCTCTAGAAGCAAGATTCAACATTTGATTTCGAACAGCACGAAATTGTTCAGAGCATAATTTTGGAATGCTATATTATCCATGGATCACACATAATAAAATTTAAGTGAATAGATTACAGTTTTTTGGTCAGTATAAAAAAGCAAAGGAATTCTATGTTCCAAGTTTATGAAGCAAGCATGGCATGAAAACTTACTGGCCATATACAATCATAATTGACGAAAGAGTGATGCATATTGCTAACGTGAACAAACCAAGCGGCCAGGATAAAATTAGCAGATAGATCAAGGCACCAGTGCCCTGAGATAGCAAACAAAGAGTGAACATTAATAAAGATCTTAAAATAAGCATACAAAAAATAAATAATAAAAAAAAAAAAACGAAAACATTCCTGAAAAGCATAAGGCAAAGGAAAACCTGCAGAATATTGCGTGATATCAAATTAAGATCATTTCCAATCACACGAGACACCTGCTGACAATCTGCCCCAAGCCTGCTAGTGAGATCACCGACTGTTGAAGCATCAAAAAAGGATATGTCCTACAGAGAGAATGACTGATATCAAAACATGAAAATGTCTATACCCCAAGGAGGGTCTTGGAACCAATATGAAGGCTCAGAACCTGAAGCATGAGAGAGGAATACAACGTTTCTCTCATTCTCTTGACCTGCATATGAGCAAGAACTATGATCAAGATGGGCAATACAAGATGCCAAACAATAATTAAAAGGCAGAAGGTTTTATGAATTTGAGCTGGTCCCTTTCCCCAAGTAAAAGCTTGATTGTAAAGGAAGAAACAAAATTTCAATATAGTTTGATTTGCAGATATTTGCTCTGGTTGCCCACAGTCAGCTGAAACCAGGAGTTCATAAATTTTGAAAGGATGCAGCCAACGGATATTTACAAATCAGAACAAGAGAAGAAGAAAAGTATGTACAAAAAACCTCCACTCACTAGGATCATATTTGCAACGCTGAAACAGCCTCCTCTTATGCCACTGTAGCTCAAATAAACATGTTACAAGTCAGTTGCTCTATCACGTAATTGTACATATATTTTATACTAAAATTATTAACACAAACAGCAGTTTGTACATCAACAAATTATGCTTTCAAATTCACACTATCTCAGTATTCAAATTTCCCAAGACTTGATCCCTGAAAATTCACGTGGTTTTATGAGAACAGTGTAATATAACCCACAAAAATTTTCACCCAACAACATCAATAGTAGATAATAAATACATTTATACATGACAAAGTTAAACAACTTTCTCACTAAACATTTCACATGGACTTTCTTATGACTTGTTCTAATTAATCCCCATCAGATAGAATATCTTTTGTATACTTGATAGTTTCGCTAAACATGTCAACAGTTCAATGAAAAGTTGTACTGTGAATAAATCACACTAAATTGAGCCACTGAGTAATCTCTAATTCTCTAGCATTCCTAGCTCTTGTCAACCTAATATAAGAAATAATACTTGGTAAAAAGCAGGCCAGTCAAGGATTTCATAAGGTAGATAACAAGTATAATAACTTGGCACATTGACTGACAAGATTCAGACCATAAAATCAATTGCAAGAGCCTTTGTAATGCCTTCAATATTTAACACAATATTCCAATATTTTTGACAACTATGGTTTGAGACTTTGAGCTATGGGATAAAACCTCACCATTACCTATCAGTTGACTAACATGAAATATATCAAGCAGCAATTCATCGCTGTCTACATATTTCAATTTCTTCCAATAAGTCATTCCCAAAATACAATCCATGCCAACATAATATGATATCAAATTGCTGCAAAAAAAACATGGCCAAGCAACATTGTTGGAATTCATTACAATTGAAGTGTGGACATGTATGCTTAGACCAGCATCTAAACTCACAAAGAATGATTCAAGGGACAGGAAATCAGCAACAATTGAGGCATAAGCACTAGGAAAACTACTAAGTGTCATCTCCTATATTATAGTTCAGAGAAAAAGGAGGTATTGACCATACAAGATTTTGACCTGCAAATTCCGGCAATGATGCAAAAAATAGACAAAAGAACCACATTTCGACGGAAAATCATGGCATTGCCACTCTGTGCTGAAAAGATTGATGCTGTCAAGAAGTGTGGTATAGAGATCTCTGCAAGCTGAAAGGAAAAAACAAAGCACCATATTTCCATCAAACACATGAACAGAACATCTCTAATCAATTAGACTTGTTAAACAAACAAAGTCATACAAACTGCATAAGTATCAGACATAGATCCCTTTATCCATTCATAAAAAACTAAAAGTATCAGACATAGATCCCTTTATCCATTCATAAAAAACTAAAAGTATCAGACATAGATCCCTTTATCCATTTCAGTTTTTATACGAACAATGGACACCCGAGTAGTTGCTATCTTAATTTCCAAAAAGACGAAAATTTTAATAGCAAAGCATTTTGCTTCACCTCACCATGAGCCAGTAACAACACTGAGTCACTGAATGCACTATTTAGCGACCACTTTCAATTAGGTTATAAACCTAATAATGACAATTATAACTAGTCAAGATCAACTAAAATAAGCATGTCTTAGATATGATTTAAATACTTTTTTTTATCCAATTCTTCAAATGTGTAATTGCTTTAAAACAATGAGTATAAACTTCTAAAAATGATCTATATTAAGGTATCATAAAGTGGCCCGTTCACTTTGGCTTAATTTCAGTACAATTCAGTTCAACTCTTAATTTCCTTCTCTCATAAAATATTCATTTCAGCTCTATTCAATTCAGTTCAGCTCAACTCCAATCAGTTCAGTCAGTTCAATAAATGTAAACAGGCTCTAACTCATGTTAAATAATACTCACATATTTTGGTAAGTAAAGCTAGCTTCTGCAAAAAAAAAGTAGGGGTGAGCATGGGATGGGTACCCGTACCTAGAGGCGGATTATAGTTAGGGCGTATTGGGGCCTGGCCAGGTACTTTTGGGGGAAAATTGTAGTACATGCAGAGCAATAAAAGACTAAAGCAAGCTTAATTAATCCATTAAGTAAAAAAACATGAAAAAGCCCAATAAATTACAAATATCTAAATTCTTATTTATTTACTCACTAAGAAACTCAATTCCAATTCCCAATAAAAGCCTGACACTCTTCACTATGCTCACAAGTCACAGAATATTTTTGTCCACTTATCCCAAATTTCCATTCAAGTGATTTAATTATCAATTATCATCAGTAAATCAATTCTGTATAGTTTAATCAATTTGGTTTAAAGGATTTCTTTTCAACATTGTTTCAATTCATGTTATTTTTATTATTGTATGAAATTGCAACGAGATTGGTATACTAGTTTAGTAATTTGCACACATAAAAAGTTAAAAAGAAATTCGATAATTGTACGTTATTAGTCAATATCTAACATAAAGGCATATAGTTTTGTGTTGTTTGTATGTCTTTTTTTTTTTTTTTTTTTTTTGGTAATATATAACAATTGTTGATTTCTTTTAACTTTTTCATTACTTATGAATCTTGACACATTGATGGTTAATAAATTAAGTTACTAATGATTAATGAATGTATGAACCTTCGACAAATTCATTGGATTGTTTTTTATATGATATTGTGTTGATAATTACTGGCCCCTGAAAGAAAAACTTTCAAGATCCGCCACTGCCCGTACCGTTAGTACTAACGGTACGGGCATCCGATAACCAAAATCACTAAAAGTGATACCCATAACCGAAACCGATAAGTTCGGGTACCCGAATTTTCGGATCGGTTATCGGGTACCCAATAAGATATCCAATAATGATAATTAAACTAAATTATGTAGTTATTATGATATAATTTACAACTAATTAAAAACAATACCATATGATCTTGACCAAATTATTAATAATATTACTAATCATTGATATTATAAAGTGATTATGAAGTAAAGTAAAAGTTTAGATTTATATTAATAGATTTAAGTAGGGAAAAAAAACAAAAAAAAAATGCTTCTCGGATCGAATAACCATTAATTTTAAAATGATAACCATACCCGATAACAAATTATCGGAACGGGTACCCGAACCGTTATGGTTATCAGATCGGGTATCCTAATTTTCGGAACGGTTACGGATCGGTTTTTCGGATTTTCGGTTTTTCGGAACGGTTGCGGATCGGTTTTTCGGTTTTTCAGGTAGTTTTGCTCAGCTCTTAAAAAAAAGCTAGATAATGTAGTTTCTAAACTATTTCCACCTTCAACTCCAATTATCATCTAAGTTTTCAACTTCCAACCGCCTTCTAAATCAACTTTTCGACTTTCAATTAACCTTTAGAATTATAATTTCGCAACGCTCCAACTTTAAACAAATCACCTTTTCAGTTTTCGCCATATCCTTGGCAAATTACGCCAGCAATTACATGTATAACTAGTATACTAAATCAATCCATATACGAAGTATCAAAAACTATGGAAAAGCATAAACACCTAATGCGCATGAATTACAACCATTTTACTTGTATAAAACATATGAGAGAAAATATACCGCAGTGATAATAAGAGCAGAAAAGGCAGCAAAAATGACCCAACGATCACTCCGAACCAACGTCCACATCCGATGAAGCGCATTCCAAACAGTCACCGGCTTCGCTTTAAGATCAACCTCAATTTCTTCATCAGACAACTTCCACCATTTTCCTCCGGGCAAAATCGCCGGCAAAAATTCAAAAAACTTGCGAATTCTCTCTCCTAACTCAACCTTTTCCGAAAATTCCTGATTCTCTGGATTAGCAGAAATTGGAATTCCGTTCACCGACGCCGCCGCATTGACGGGGAGAATTCTCCGGCGGCGGAGGAAGCTTCTGGAAGGAGGAGGAAGACGGAGAGTTGGACATGGTGAGGGGAGGAGAGAGAAAATTCGAGGGTTTGGAAGTGGTTGAGAATGGCGGAGAGGAAGAGGAAGTGGAGGGGTGAGTTTGAAGGTGAAGGTAGAGAGTGCCATTGATGATGAGGTATGAGTTTGTGTAGTTTATTACTTCCACCGTGTTGAAATGCTAAGTCTACCGTTGGTATTACGCAAGGAAGACATACACCAGAAATTCCTTGTTTTTTTTCCATTTATCCGTTTTTTTTTTTTTTTTTTTTTTTTTTTTCAGGACTATGGAATGTGTTGAACTGTGTTGAGAACTTGAGAACATTGGTTGGTGAAGTCTTGGCTTTGCCGAAGTCTTTGGCCTGTAAGCGGACCATCTTTTACTGTCAAAGGCCGGCCTCGCGATCACCTTTAGGTAAACTAATAGTAAAGGGTATGTTTCGATTCAATGAAAACTACTAAACTGAACAGATTAGGGTTGAAATGAACAGATTATGACTGAACTGAACTGAATTGTTTATGAGAAGAGGAAATTAGGAAGTAGGAAATGAACTGAAATTAAGTTGATAGAACAGACCCAAAGTCTAAATCTATTAGATTGTACTTGGTATAATAATGTCACCTTTATTGGTGAGACTCAACTTTGAATATTGAAACACAAAATGAGTTGTTTTTTTTACCTTCAATGATGATACCAAATCCATTTCTCAATTTAGCAACTCATGTAGATTCTAATTCATAAAGGGCAAAAGTGACTAAAGTATACTAATGTCACTCCACCAAATCCATACTGTAAGTTTCTCAAAAAAAAATTATTTAAACTTAAATAAATTACAAAATATAATACTCCTTCCGTCCCATAATATAGATCTTTTTGTGTTTTTCACGGTATTTAAGAAATAGGAAGAGGAAGTGATAAAAGTACATTAACAGAAGTGAAAGTACAATCATGTACAAAAGTTAGAGAGAGAAAGTGCAAAAAAGCACAAGACATGTGCAAAATTCAAGGATAAATTAGGAAGTACAATGAATAAAGTTAAAAAAAAAGTGAGTGTATAATGGTCTTTATATACTATCCAAAAATAGAAACATGAACAATATTTTGGTTCTCCAAAATAGGAAAACAAGAAGTATATTATAGGATAGAGGAAGTATAATATTGATAAAGAGCCCACATTTTTTATCAAATGAGACTCAAAGTTGGGTATCTAAACTTAGCAACTATAAGTTTAGATACCAACTTATTTGTATCATTTGTAATAAAAAAAAAAAAAAAAAAAAAAAAAAAAAAAAAAAAAAAAAAACTCCCTCAACTCTCACAATTAGAGATGGTCTAAGGGTAAGTTTATTGCATAGTCTCAAAGATAATTGTGGTCTTGCATGAGTCTACTCGTAAGCTACTCGATATTTGGCTAAATCAAAACTCGGTCAAAACTTAACTCACGTTCAAGTTTGGCTTGAAATAACAACAAGTTAGGTCTAAACAATCCTTGACTTGGATCTTTATTATTATTATTATTATTATTATTATTATTATTATTATTAACTATCATTTTAATAAAATAGTTATAGCTTAAAATTATCTATTGACAATGGGGCATTGGGGGCTTATTGTCATATTGGGGGCTTTAAATGAGAGAAGTCATCCATTATAATAATACTTAAACATGTAAATTTAAGAGTTAAGAGTAGATCGAATAATTAATGATCAAGCCCCAAGCTCGAGTTAAGTCATGGTTGTCAAGCTCATGTCTAATTATTGTTATCTAATTGGCTCCCCCTCCACCACTGAGCAACCCCACCAGAGATCACCTTACTAGCAACGACCACCATCTAGTCCATCTACATAGTGAAAACACCCGTTGAGTTGAGAAGAAAGGGCGCATTCAAAACAATACCTTAGCAGAACTTATAATTGAAGTGTCACTAAATCTCATTGAGTATAACGTGCCCTCATAATCTAATGAATTTTTTTTCTGGACGTGTCATTTTAATAATCTCAATGGCCGGAAATTTGTTAACTTTTACATTACTCCCATATCTCACTTTGAGTAGCTTTGGTGAATTATAAGTTAGGTAAAATATAAAAATGTGGGATCAAGTTAAACTTGTCTCGATTTACACCTTTATAATATCAATTTTTTTAACTACGTATAACTTTTACACATTAGTAATTAAATATACTACTCCATATTACTATTAATAATTGAAATAGTGTACATAGCGTGAAAAGAGAAGTGTTGTAAACACAGATTATTAAAACACAAAGAAAGCATACGAATACCAAGTAAAAAGCAGGTTGGTAAAAAGTGTTGTCCTTATTTTTCCACCGCCAAAACTTATGTTCGCACAGCCAACCCGCCAGCCCCACCAGTCCTTCGCTCGTGGGTTTTCTGTTATAATGGAAGTTTTAAATCTGTGTCCAGTAAGCTTTTAAGTGGGTTGGCTCGTGGCTTATTTTTACTTTCTTAAGTGTTGATTTTTCCTTTTTGGGTTTTCAATCGTTGAGCTCTGTTTTGCTGTTTGTTTATTCATCTTGAGTCTCTTGCCCTTGCGTCGTTTTGTGGCCAAGTTTTGTGATTATTGTTGTGTGTTGTTTACCCTATTAGGTGTAGAGTGTGTTCACCTTGTTAAAGCCTTTATTGAGATGAATTTTAGCTTAATTTAATCAAAATTATTGTTGTTTCACTTAAATGATGACGACGATTATGGGTCAATTACCAATATTCTTATGAGAATTGGAAGTTCTGATGGAGTTCTTCCATACAGTCGACATGAATTCGGAGATGCTTATTTGCAATATGACATGCCTATTAAAGTCCTCTATTTTGTTGTTCCCCTTTCTCCTAATGGGATTTCCTTCATTTGTGGACCTTGTCGTTTCCTTAAATTTGAATTTGGCTGCATGTGCTCTTCAAATAATAATCAGTTTTCTCAAGCTTTACAGCTTTGTTCTATAGTGCTTGAGTTTGATGGCAATAATGTTAAAGGTTTGTATCGACGAGCTATTGCTGCGTCAAAATTGGGATGCTTTCCACAGGCCAATGATGACCTGTCACTTGCTTCTCGGTTAGATCCTAAAAACCAAGAAATTTTGCGGGATCTGGATCATGTTGGGAACTTAGTTCAGTTGAAGATTTCAGGGAATTTTTGTCTAGAAAATGATGTTGTTAGTGTGAGTTCACTCCCTGGTACAAAGCCCAAGTATGGTGAAGAGGCTTCTCTTTTTGTCTCACCGACTGTCTCCAACCCAAGCAAAACCAATCAACTTCACTCAGAGGTTACAGGGAAAAGGAGTTTGGATATTGCTCAAGTTGCTTCCTCGAAGAAGAATAAGGAAAATTCTTCTTGTGTTACAGTGGATGGCTCTTTTTCGATTCCCACTGAAATTGATTCGTCACAAGGCATGGTGCAACTGACGCAAAATGTGGGGTGTTTTGGTGAATCCCCAACTTGCGCATCTACTAGGTCCTTTCCGTTGGCATCTCAGAACAATGATTTAGACAACTCGGTTACGGATGAGAAGTGATATCATAAGTTTGTTAACTCTCGGAATCACAAGTCTTGTATGTTGGTGCTGACGGAAACTTTGGGAAAATAGTTTCAGGCAGAGAGCTCCAATATTATAATTCTGCCAGTTTTTCGTTCGTCACTATCCGAGTTGTTCGGGTGTTAAAATCTATCTTGGCAAAGGCCCTCCAAGGTCATAAATTTGGGAAGCAGAGGCCCCCTTTCCGTGCAAGGAATCTTCTTCCTTAAGCCATCATGATGTTTCCCCGCATACCATGATGACAACAGTTCCAACTCCTCTCAAGCAGGTTCCTACCCTGGATGCTAGGTTCCCCTCTTCGTCTGCCCACAGTGTTCCTCCAATGGTCTTGTCACATTTGGTAGTTAACACCTCTAGTGGCGTTTAATTTTTCAGCGCGGTCCCTATTAGCCAATCATTCGGCCACTATATGTTGTCGTCCATCTCTAGGCTTTCGAAAATCAGGTAACAAAATGCATGTTTCTGATCGTTTATTATTTTGTAGGGTTAACATAGGTTACAAACGTAAGCGAGCTTTGTTCGCTACAGACGACTCGTACGACCTCATGCAAAAGAAGATGTTCTTTGATGAATTGATGTAGCGTTCTGTTCATTTGGTTCTCATGTTACTCAGTGTGTGTTTGTAGAGTTGTTTTGTGTTATTGTATTAGTTTGTCTTTAGATTGTAATATTGTTTTTCGTTAGTAGGATCTTACATTCTTTTTGTCAAACGAAAAAAAAAATACAGAGTAAAAATTAAAAAAAGGAAATTTTGACAATTACCACCTTCTGTTTTGTCCATTTTAGCAATTACCACCTTCTAATTTTTTTTTTGAAAATTACCACCTTTTATTTTCAAAAACATCAAAAGTTACCACCTTCTTGCCCCCCAACTAGCACGTGACGTCATTTTGGGCCAATTCTTTCCCTTCCCTCCCTATTTCCCTCACATTTCTCATTCCTATTTGGATTCTCATCTCCCCTTTCACTTTTTTTCCCCAAACCACCAATAATTTTCCGTCAATTTTGATTTGGAGGAGTGAATTGATGAGTTTCTGAATTTTTGGGGGAAAATAAGTGAATGAGAAGGTAAGAATCGGGTTATGGAAGAAAAATAGGGAGACAAGGGAAAGAATGAGCCCAAAATGATGTCACGTGGTAGTTGGGAGACAAGAAGGTGGTAACTTTTGATGTTTTTGAAGATAGAATGTGGTAACTTTCAAAAAGAAAAATAGAAGGTGGTAATTGCTAAAATGGACATAACAGAAGGTGGTAATTGTCAAAATTTTCTTAAAAAAAGTATCGGAATTTTATATCGTCCTAGCTACACACTAACACGACGTCGTAACAATGCCATGATCCTAATCGTTAAGACTATCCATTTCTTGAACGCATTACCAAACTCCCAAATAAAACACCCGCCACAAGGCAGCCGCCTCAACAACGCGCCACGTAATTTCAAACCTGTTAAGACCATAATACCCTCAATAAATCCCTTTATTTCACCCTTACCACCCATTTAAACACTGTTTATAAAGTATCAAACCTGTAATAGAGGACAAAGCCGTCTTTTCACCCACCACTACTCAAAATATCTCTCAACCTCTCACGCATCATCACTGATCTCTCCTTCACGGCTCCTTTTTGTTTCTCTTTGCTAAAAAAATTCTCTCTCCTCAAACTTCTCCGGCAACAATGGCGACTGTTCTCGGAAACCTAGTTTTACCTGTCGACCTAAATTTGCCGGCGAAGGTAATCTCCGATCATCGGAAAAAGCTCCGGTTACTTCCGTACGACGTCGTGTTGAGCTTAGGGTTACCGAAGAGAGAGAAGGAGTTTCAGATATGGGGAGAGTTTTCGACACTTGGAAGGGTGAGTTTCTCGAGGAAGTCGAACGCTGTAGAATATTCTAGCGACGAAGAGAACGGAAATGGTGGCGGAGAAGGTGGAAATGGCGGCGGTAATGGTGGTGATGATGAGGAATTGATTAATTGGGAGATGCAGATGAGGAGGAGAGTGAAGGAGCTTGAGGAGATGAGAGAGTTGGAGAAGAAGGCGGAGGAATTGCAAGGGAAGATTGATGCTGAAACTAGTGAAGGTGATGGTGTTGATGAAACTGAGGAGGAGAAGAAGATGAGAGTTCGGAAAGAGCTCGAAAAGGTTCGTGATCTGTTGTTCTCCTTTTGATTTTGATTTGATGATTTATTTGTTATTTGAGTTATTTTATAATTTATGTTGTTTTGAATTTTGATGATATTTGATGATTTTTAGAAATATTTAAATGCCTAGTTGTGTGTATTATTTTATTGTTTTATTTTTAATTAATGTTGTGTTGTGTTTTTGTTTGGTGATCAAATTACTGAGGAAGTTATTATTCAGATTCATAAGCAATTTGTTGCATACTTTGGGTAGTTATAGATTTAGAGGTAATTAAGATGGTGCCCAATTCAAGTTATCGGGTGCAGGTTGGAATGTAGGATGAGGAAATAGAAGGGCAGACATTTGGTTATTGAAGTATTGATAAAATGAATTTGACACAACAAGAAGTATAGATTTTGTTGGTGGTTAGATCAAGGGCCTCAAGGCAGTAGTAGAAGTTTTGGAAGTAGAAATGGAGAATAACCGACAAAGATGGAGGGAGTAGAGCCTGCAATTCAGGAGAAGACGAGAAGTATCGGGTAAAGCCAAGGGTGGCAAAGGCACCCAATGCTTTTGAGTTTGGTAAAGACGGCGGTGTGTTGAAGCATATGAGTAAGGCGATTTGTTTTGGAGAGTGGGCATAAGAGGCGGTTAATAAGGCAGACAATGGGAGGCCGATGAGTAGTTGGCAGTTAAGCATGAAACACATAGTCATTGTGTTTAAGTGTATAAGTTGGTGATGTTAGATGTGAAGTGCCATAGAAGAGACAATGGAGGGTTAGTTAAAGATATTTGCCTCCATTGCTGGAATAAAAATTGGAGAAAGGGAGAATTGAAGAATAGTTTATGAAGGGTGTGGAAATGGTGATATGTTTTTGATATGTTGAATTATATTAAGATCCTAAACCAGATGAATTTTTTTTTTATGGCCTTGTATTGTTCACCTTATATTTGCTTTACATTAATTTTACATGAAATTATTTTTTATGAGCTTAAATTATTTTTCCAAAACTTGAATTATTTTTAATGATTAAAACTAATCTAACTAAATTTCTCTATTATTTGAAATTAATGATTTTTACAAATTACAACTTAATTTTACTTAATTGAACTTTTTTTTTTTCTTTCTAAACTTAAATTATTTTTACCGCAGTGAAATTATGTTATGGAACTTAAGTTATCTTTAATGAATATTATTTGAATAAGGTGAAGAGATCAGGACCTTAGTAAAATGATCCGCATAAATCTTGTAGAATTTATAGGTTAACATAGGAGAGAACCAATGAATTCTACCATCTTGAGGATATTAAGTCCAAAGGAGCACTGAAGTTAAGCAAAGATGAAGGGGAGTGTTGGTAGTTTATTACTTGTGCAAGAATTAAAATGAGTGATGATATAGATTTGTAGCATGACAGTCGTAGAATGGATGGCACATCACCTTTTTAAGTGATAAAATCTGCCACTGTGCCACCTTATAAAATCTCACCATCTAAAATGAACACTTCCACTTGGCTGATAATATAAGAAGCTCGATTAAAATTCCCAACATCACATTGATGATCTCATTGTAAATGGAAGAAATTGATGATATGATTTACACAATTCTAGGAATATGATTTACACAATTCTAGGAATATGATTTGCAATCAATCAATCAATCAATCAAAGCCTTAATCCCATAAGTGGGGTCGGCTACATGAACCAAATTTGATTATTCCGTGTGGTCATCTACAAAAATCTTCCTCCTTCATCCCTTACTATCCAATGCTTCATCCTCATGCAAAAGATATGACTTGCATAATCAAATATAATATTCTCCTAGGAAGATATTCACATAGTCAAAGTTATGATCTGTGTCAAATATGATTTGAGAAGATAGTATCAAGAAATATTCTTGACATTTATTTTCATACTTGTTTCTTGATGCTGTTCTTGGGTTATTTTGATTTTTATTATTTTGGTTCCCCTTACCTGCAGACAAGTAGGATAGTGGAAAGCTATACAAAGTTGAAGTAATTTAGGCCGTGATTGCTATTGCTTCTTTTGAGTGTTGCATGATGTCATGGATTTAATGCCTTGTAGTGCTGTAGAGATGATGGTTGAATGCTAAATAAGCTCGCTGTTCCGTTTTGAATACTTAAGTCCTAAGAGCATAGGCAGTGGCATATGTTCTGTTATGCACTGTCCAGTTATTACTCGAGCCTTCTGACTTTCTGAGTTACCAGAATAGTAAAAGAACAGGATTTAGCTGTTGCATCCATAGTTATGCTTAGGGCAATTACTTGTAGAGTTATAGCCATCATAATCCCTATTTTGCCCACTACTAATTATTGACAAGTGACTGTTTATATTATTATTATTATCGCCTTTCTTATTTAGCTTTAAGTTAGCTGTTACTTGCTTGAAAATGTTTAGCCACTGCTTCCAATCGTATCATCCATTCCTCTGTGCTGTATGCCTGTATACTTTCAGAGAGTCTTCAGGATGTCTTTTTTGGGAACGCCTTTTCCGTATCTTAAACTGGTTAGGTTGAGGGTTAGGACTTGTGCTGCTGGTCTGCCGCCTATGGACATCCTCAAGCCTTTAGTGGATATGTAATTGTTTCAGATAAGTGATTTGAGCAGTTAGGTGAAGGACTGAAGCACAAAATTGTCAACTACAACTTGCTTATCTAGCTAGAGGCAATGATGAAGAGTTGATGACTGGATTTCCAACTAAAACTGTTTCTTAATGCATAGAGTATTTGTAATTTGTTGGGTCTATGTAAGGCATGAAGATTGATGGATTTTGTTTGGTTTATTGTTCCCTCTGTGTGCTGTTGAATTTGCTTTATTTATTTATCTGTTTTTTTTTATTTTTTTCAAATGAAGCCAATTAATCAATTCTTCTCTCCATGATACTGTAGGTGGCAAAGGAACAAGCTGAACAAAGAGCAACTGCTAAATTGATGTTTGAGCTGGGTCAAAAGGCTTATGGTAGGGGCATGTATAAACGAGCTATTGAGTTTTTAGAAGCTGCATTGACAATCATTCCTAGACCTACGCTTTTTGGTGGCGAGGTCGGTTTGGCTGCTAGCACATGATGAATTATGGCTGTTCTCTTTTGTTATAGTGGGTTAATATACATACTAGTGGTTGACCTAATATCATTCTCTTTTTATGGTCTGCAGATTCAAATATGGCTTGCTATGGCGTATGAGGCCAACAACCGGCATGCAGATTGCATTGATCTATATCAGCAATTAGAAAAAAAGCATCCCAGTGTCAGCATTCGCCGACAAGCTGCAGAGCTTCGTTACATCTTGCAAGCACCGAAAATAAAGATAACCCAAGAAGAGATGGTAACAATCCCGCTAATTGGTAATAGTTATGACAGGTGATTTTCAGGACTTACATCTGAACCTCATTTATCTTAAGAGTTCAAGTTATGGGTTAAGGGCACTTTCATCACTTGCTATGAATTTAACTGTATCTAACATCACAGAAGCAAAAGAGAGATTAACACAGTTTAACACGAGAATTATACACTAGGTATAAGATGGGAGATTCCTCTTCTATTTTAGGTATAAACCACGAATTTTTTTTATCAATGGCAAAGAAAATTACTTCAGTGTATTATCTTCTAGTTGATGAAGACAGCCTCCACATCTTTGATTACCAGCTAATATTATTCATGTGCACCACATTACATATCCAAGAGTAGACACCAGTTTTAACTCTTGGTTTCACATTGATTATAATGAAGCTTTTAGTTTAGCCATCAAACCCATTGGGGCTTAGACAGACCATGAATCTGGTATGCTCTACATGAATTACTATATGAACCTGCTGTGTGGACCACAACTACTCTTAAGACCATGGAAAAATCACTAGACCCTCACAAGAATGAAGTCGCCAAAATAGCATATCAGAAGACTTCTTGGATCATGTAGAGTGTCACCAAGAGCGAATTCTCGTCTTGGATCAAAGACCGCTTAGGGACTATGCCAAATTATTTAATGCTTCCTAAGTTCTTTTATTTATAAAAATCTATAAAAGCCTATCTTAACTATGTATTGATTAAAGTATTGTTTATTAAATCTGATCCAATGTATCTACAAAAGCTGTAATTAAGCTTACACATTTACACTTTATCTGTTAATAGAGTCTTTTAGGTGAATCTCCGCAAACTATAAACATAACAAAATATGGTATTCGGTCACCCCCTTGTTGTAGGCTTTCATGGATTTTTGGAATGTAAAACGTGTTACGTATCTAAGTTGTACCATTTTTTTTTTATCACTGCTGCAGTTTTGCTCGCTTTGTCTATGAGTGGTATTTCTTTCCACAGATTTGCGCTTTACCCTTGCTAACACCTGGATACTTCTATTGTCTCTTGCAGCTATGCATCGACTTGGACTGACAAAAGCAAGGACAAGGAACAATTCATTGGTTCTTCAACTACGAGTGCATTCCCCTCATCCAGAGATTATATTGGGGACTTCCTAAAGTGGAAACCCCCTGTGTTGCAGGATAATCGCATTTTCTGGGCTGCAGTAACTTTATGGTTTGGTTTGGTTGGAGCTGCCCTTTTACTTCAGAGATGATCAATTATATATATACAAATACACCCTCCCTTATTCCTATATATAAGTAGAATCCATCCAATTCTTGATTCCTAAGGTTTTCATCGTGTTGAATATGTATATATATATGTGGCAATGTGCATGTTTATTGTGAGTAATGTTAGAGCAGAATCAGCATTGCATTCTTTCTGCAATTGGGCCTAACATGCGGTCGGCCTTCTGCATCTATTAGTTCTTTTGTTTCATCATATGATTCCCCCCCCCCCTTGTTTCTGCTCTCTAAATTATCCTGGACTTGGCTCATTCTCCAAGAATGGAGATGCACTGGGAGATCCATATGTTACAGTCTCGGTCTTTTGAATATGCTCTGGCTATCCTTCTAGCTCCATCTTCCTCTTCGCATTTATGTATTTATTTATCAAAATTAATATTCATATATGGGTTGCAATGATTATTTTAGATTTTTGCCTTTTTGGCAGGCTATATAAGAAAATAAAGTGGGATAACCAGATAAGTAATACCTCTTCCATCCTTAAAAATCTTGAAGTAGGTTAAATATTCACATCTCTTTAGCCGTCCTAGAATAATACGAGTATGTTAAATTCACCATTTCAGTTCTATTCCATAAAATTGGCTTTAACACCGTCTTACCATTATAAGACTATCTTGTAGGTGGGTTAGGCTGAATAAAGAGTAAACCTCAAATAGGGTCATGTAGTTAACTAGTTATAACGACTCACAAAAATGGTCCTATGATGATAAGTGATTTTGTACAAATAGTTGTCATTTTTAATTGTACACAAAGGTACTATGGACCCTAACCATTCTATAACACTTCATCTTAAATCTCTTTTTTTTCCCTCGCTCAATGGGAATACCAAAGTTTCTCAAAACTAGCGATATCATAGGTGCAACATTGTTTATGTGCTCATCTTTCAATACATATTACAGAGGTGTAAATGAAGTGAATCAAGTTAGGGTATTTGTGTGTTCGAGTTTGAGTTGAATTTGTTATAAACAGATTTAAATTTTCTTGTTCGAGCTTGATTTGTTTAGTAAATTACTGTACTTTCAACCAACATAATTTAAGTATGAATGAATTTACTTTTTACTTCACAACAAATATATTTAAAAACATGTATTTTCAACCAACATAATTTGAGTATTAATGAATTTTACTTTCTACTCCATAACAAAGATGTTAAAAAACTTGGTCCCTCAACCCCTTTAATCTTATGTCTTAAAAATTCATGCTCTTGTGAGATGTGACAAATACTGTATAATCCATAATGATTACTACCCCCGTTACATATTATGTGCAATAAAAACATCGACACAGACTCTTAGACAAAATTTTGTATGTGAGTGGTAAATGGAGAGAGAAATATAAAAAAACATGTGATGAGGAGAGAGATGGAGAGAAATGACAACCAATAAAAGGAAAGAAAACATTTGTTGCAAATAAAGTGTAGCATCTATTTTTAGAAAATGTTGTACATAATATGAAACGGAGGTATTATTTAATTTTAATAATAACAATTCTTCAAACAAAAATTCAATTGGAGGTGTCAATTCGAATGATCGAATTTGGTTTGAGGAGGTCGGGTCAGATCAATTTTTTAAAGTTGAATCATGTTAAATTATTACTCCCTCCATTTTTAAATACTTGCTTCATTTCAATTTTTAGCACTATTCATTTGTCCTATTTTGACTAATGTTTGTGACTTATACATAAGAAAAAATGTGGGTACTTGTTGGAATCATCTCAATGAATAGATTATTCATTTGTACTTATTGATAATTAAAGATATTAATGATCAAAGATTAGCATCGGCATTCGTGTCAAAGAGAAATGGAGCAAGTATTTAAAAACAGAGAGAGTATGTCCAAGCGAGTCCAAATCTGAATGGATATTTTTCAGATCGGGTCAGATTTTAACACCTCTAAATTCATTTCCATGTCAAAAAAAAAAAAAAAAAAAAAAAAAAACATATACGTTCATAATAGGACAGGACTATACTACACTCAACTGGGCTTGGAAACATATTCACAAAAAAGCCCAACCACATCCCAAAACCCCATCTCCTCATTCCTCTAATCACTCCCATAAAAGCAGAAACCCTAATCACTCTTCTCTGGCCTCCACACTTCCTCCTCCCCCAAAAACCCTACTCACTCAGAAAGAGAGGGAGAGAAACTATCAAAATCCGCCATGACAACCCGGTTGAAGAAGAACAGGAAGAAGAGAGGCCACGTCTCCGCCGGTCACGGTCGTATCGGAAAACACCGCAAACATCCCGGAGGTCGCGGTAATGCCGGAGGTATGCACCACCACCGTATCCTCTTCGACAAATACCATCCTGGGTATTTCGGTAAAGTTGGTATGCGTTATTTTCACAAGCTTCGCAACAGGTTTCATTGCCCCATTGTTAACCTCGACAAGCTCTGGTCTATGGTGCCTGAAGATGTCAAGGAGAAGGCTTCTAAAGAAGGGAAAGCGCCTGTTATTGATGTCACTCAATTTGGGTATTTTAAGGTTCTGGGTAAGGGTGTTTTGCCTGCTAATCAAGCTGTTGTTGTTAAATCTAAGTTGATTTCTAAGATTGCTGAGAAGAAGATTAAGGAGAATGGTGGTGCTGTTCTTCTTACTGCTTAGGTGAAAGTGGGAGTTTGAGAAACATTTAGTAAGGTGTTTTTTGTTTTTGTTTCTTGGGAAACTTTTTGAGTATTTGAGATAATTATTATTAATCTTGTTTTTGGATTTTGTTATGATCAGATTTTGGGTCTTGTTAAATGATTGTTATTATCGTATTACTGCTGTTCTGTGTTTTCTGATTTTGTTTTGAGCGTTGATTTTCTGTGTGTTTTCCTAAGATGTATGCTTTTCTGTGTTTTACTGCCTTTTTATGATGCATTTCCTGTTTTTGTGATTGGTTGTTGAGGAGATGTATTGTTTGATAATGTTTTGGTGTTACGAATTCAGTGGAATTTATGTTTTTGTGGTCCATGAATGCATTTAAATGAGATTATGGAACTTGTGAAAGTTTGTGTCTTGGTTTTCATTATAAGTTTGGCAAAAGAGGTTGTGTTGTGCTTGCATTTTACGGTAGATTGTGGGCTTATTAGTAACTTGCGAAGTGTTAGATGATGAAGAATATTGGAGGGTTTAGTATGACTTGTTGAGATAGCAATTTGATGCTATGAATTAGGCACTTTCTGCTATTCTGTGACCGTGAATGCTTTTATCTATGTACCAAGATTCTGGTATTTGTGGTAGTTTGTGTGCGGATTTTTCTTGATAATGAACAAAGGGACTGTGTACTGCTTGCGTTTTGAGGAGTGTTTGGTGACAAATATCTTTGGGTTTGGTATGATTCTCTGAGCTTGCATTTGGGTGTGATATAATTTGGGGAGCTTTCATTAAGTTTGATGTGGTTTAGCAAGCTTGCTTTCTGGTTTGGTATGATTTAGCAAGCTTGCATTTGGGTTTGTTATGATTTGTTGAACTTGCATTTGGGTTTGATTCAGTTTGGCAAGCTTTCTTTCAAGTTAAATGTGGGGTTAAGGTTGCAATCAGGTTTGGTATGATTTAGCAAGCTTGCATTTGGGTTAGGTATGATTTGCAAAATTTGGGGTTGATTCAATTTGGCAAGCTTTCATTCAAGTTAAATGTGGGGTTAGCAAGGTTGCATTCAGTTTTGGTATGGTTTAGCAAGTTTGCATTTGTGTTTGGTACGATTTAGCAGGCTTCATTCAGGCTTGGTATGATTTAGCAAGCTTGCATTTTGATTTTTTTTTTCCCTTTTCCAACTATGCCAGTCTAGTACCCCTAGGTTATAATTGTTCATATTTGCCTATTTTATTGTAGGAAAGTAGGGTACTGACCACACAAAATAATCATATTTGGTTCATTTAGCCGACCCCAATGATGGGATTTAGGCTTTGATTGATTGATTGATTGATTGATTGATTGATAGTAGGGTACTAAGGTTTTAAGGAGCGTTCTGGTGATATACTGTGATTGAGTTCAATAAGGACTGTTTAATTTTTTTGGAGCATTATTGCTGGTCGTTATTGTGGTAATGAAATATATATGGTTCAATTGGCCATGTCGCTGATGATTGGTGTGATAGGTAGTAAGTTTTCAAATTGACCTTTTTGAGGTATGGTGATTGGCTTATGGTTTATAATGTGTTTGGTTATGGGTCCTGGTTGAGTCTGTTGAGGAATAATATGTGGCTTGATGTTTGTTGATTAAGTGACGGCTGGTCTTTGAGAAATGAAGAACATTGGGGAAAGTTATTGTCTTGGGATACAAAGGTTTATCTCTATATAGTTGAAGTTAGTTATTAACCTTGAGTTGTTGAGAATGTGAAATTATGTTCTGAGGTGCAAGCCTTATTCATCTTGATGTGTTGCGAAATGTGATACTTGAGTGTTGAGTCTAAGGGAGATGAGAAGCATTGATACAGGAGAAAGGTAGTTGTTTAAAAGTAGAGTATAATTTTTCTGCTGAGGAAAAGAGGTTTTATTTGTCTTGGATATGATGTGATCCCATGGTTTATATCTATTGTCTACTTGCCTACATCCTGGATTAATTTGTTTTTAAGGGCAGCTATTGTTGATTTTCTTTGTATTTGTAAACTTGGCAGGATTCTTTTCAGACTTTTCTATTGAATACATTCTGTTATGAGAGAAGGTTTATGGTCCATGTTTGGGTTATGTGTTATGCTAGCAGTTTGAGAGAATAAATTGTGATTTGTGGCTAATTAATGGGTGCTTACTGCTCAAGAGTAGATTTTTTTTCGTGGATTTATGTACTGTGCTTTGCATTATTAGTATCCCTGGCTGCCTCTAGTCTCATGGTGTTGTTTCTATTGAAATTAATTTTTTGCTGTTTGCTTGACATGTTTTGAATTGGATTGTGTCTGGGTTCTTATTTACTAGAAGAATCTTGAACAGCTTCGAGCATTAGGATTCTTAATTTTATTTCGGTAGAGGTTGGGATTTGTTTTTAGTAATACTGGGAGCATAATCAAGCCATTAAACACTATGCTGATTTTTTACTGGAGAATTGGGCTTAGGCTTAGTAGTATTGGGAGTATATTCAGCCTGGCTTGTGATTTGTGATTGTTTGGGTGTGACTTTTCATCCATACGAAGGCTTTTTTTTGGTCTTGAAGGTATGGTGGTTTGAGTCTGACAAAGAAGGATTTCCATTGTGCTCTTCATTAATATATAATATGCTTTGTTTTAATCTCTGCATTTACTGGTAGTTTCTCTTCGTGCAGTAGTAGTGACTGCTGAGTAAAGGTGTCAAAACTAACCTGACCCGATCTGAACCTACCAGAACAAAACCTGATTAACATTTTGACGTTTTAGACACGCTAATTTAGCATGGCGCGTTTGAAATAGCCCTGATCCAACTCACCGAACCCAGAGTTAGTTACCAGAATTGACCCCTCTTGGTGGGCCATAATTTAGGTCCAACAGCACACTTGATGAGCACTGTTGAAAAATTATGGTCTTTGTTTTGCATCAGATTCACTGTGATATGTAAAATTGTGAGTTGTATCTATCAGACTTATTCTTGAGGCTTCACATGGCATAGATGCCAGGGCCTTGTTCTGAGCTTGGAAATTTCATTTTTCCTTTTTTTTTTAATCCACCTCGATCACTTCCTTTTCCACTAAGTGATTGCTTGGGGACCTTAGCGCTTCACAAGTCAATGTTGGCAGCTTAACCGTTTGCATTGTATACGTGGGTAGGGCCGAAATTCAGATGGTTCAAGTCTCTGTTTTCTGCCAAACATGTTGAGGCTAGTTTCAGCTATTTCACCCATGTATCCGTCTGAGATTGTCAAATCTTTTACAATCGATTTAACTGTATACAACTATACAAGTATATAACTAAGAACACGTAATCTAATTGCCCATTGAGATTATTAATAGAAGTACGCTTTGTGCACAAATGGTAATCGGTGGATAGGATGGGTGTTGTTATTACCTGAGTTTCATATCCCATCCCACCTTCATCCACCTATACTAGTCCATCATTGCCTAAAACATCCATTATGGTGCCCGTTCAAAACTCTTAAATGTGCCTTGTTTTGTCAATAATAGGTTTAGTGTAATGTGTATTTTGTCAATAATAGGTTGATGTAAATTGTGAATATGAGAAACTTTCATATACATATACCCATTGCGGATGCTCATATACGGTTTCACCAAAGTTGTATTTATATCCGCTCTAATTTAGTGTGTGGATGTGTAGTAAAGCACTTAATATCCCTTTCAGTGCTCAAGTGAAGCATTTAGGTTTAATAAACATGTAGGTTGATAAATTTAGTTTCCTTTATTACCATCCATCAATCAAATGATCGTCTTCTCTTACATGCTTTTCAAGCAAAAGCCTCACAAAATTGACAAGTTAGGTCTTGAGAAGACGCTATCTTCTCCTCCCACAATGCCCTAATTTTTTCTATGCAACGAATTCTTCAAGTCTTGAATGGTCATCTCTCAGCATCTTGCGTTTTTCTTCTTTGATTGAATCTCCCCACTTCTTTATTCTCTCTCCAGCAATGGAGGCCTGCATATAGTTACATAAATATGATAGAAGTTTTGAATACATTGTTTTGAACTGAAGTGAGAAAACTATACTAAACTTGTATAGCAACACAACGAGCTAACTTGGAGCATCCTTATCGAGAATGAATTAGTGAGGTCTATAGTTTGTTTACCTCTTTATCCCAGTTGGTTTTGTAGACTATCAAAAATAGGATGATCGTCTGTGCACATGTACCAGCAAGCATCCCAAACCATATCCCCTACAACGTAACATTTGTAAAGATAAAAAAAATTATCAAAATGAGAAACAAAAAATAAAAATCTTCGGTATATCTATCTCTAGGTGTACATATTCGAGTACATGTAAGAATGTTCAAAAATAGAGTGTGAATGAAGTTACATACCTTGACACCTAAACCAACCACATATCCCAATGTGAGGCCCAAGGGGATTCCTAATATGTAGTAACATGCAATGTTAATGTATGCAACCAAAGCTTGCCATCCTGCTCCAATTGCCACACCTAGGAAGCCCCATAAAGAGATCAAAATTAAATCATCTCTAATCAACAATAACCTCAACTCGGGTTGATAAGTTTAGATAAGTGTAATTTTGTAAATTGGGTGAAAATAAGGCCTCAACAACTATTGCATTCCCTTAATGTGGAGTGAATAGCTACAAGTGAAAGTAGCTAAACTAAATCATAGAGCATGCTTGATTTACCTGAGAGAACAGGCTGAAAATTGTTGATAATGATGCTAATTGCGAGAATTGGGGTTAGCTCAGTAACAAGCTCTTGTACCTCATTACTGCTGGAAAATACTGCTGGATAATCTTTTCGAAATATAAGTAGCACTGTCGCCATGATCAAACCGAACAAGAATGATGTTAATACCGAAACCAAAACTGAGAACTTTGCCATTCTGGGACGTGCTGCTCCGAGTTCATTTGATACCCTTACACTTCACAATTCAGAAACACTTACGAATTAATCACTTAAATTCATCCCCATTACCACTATATATAACTAGCTACCAAATAAGTTACTAGTTCTTAGCATTTGCAAGATGAACATATATACTTTATATGTAATTATGTATTAATGATTCTTAAACACAAACCTTACGGCTGCATTGAATCCCAAAGCCACCATCATTGTCCAACCTAGTATGTTCATGCTGAGATTAAGCTCACAAGATTGGTGTTAGTTAATGCAATTATTGATGAGTTCGGAAATAGATTAGCATCAGCAATCTGTCTTACCATACAGATAAAGCACCCACTGAAATCTCTGCATTCTCTAAATACCCGGCAAACAGAATCAGAGCCATAAAATACCATGTTTCTAAGCTGCACAGTTTACCAATAAGATTAAAACATAATAAGCAAAATAATAAATTAATAATGATATTTAGTTCAAACTGTATTCATGACTGATTTACCAACTAAGCTAGTTGACATCCATAAAAAATATTTAAATAAGATTTGTGTGCAAGTAAATAAAACTTGGATAGCATTGCGGAGTTGAAGTTGGAAGTATAGGGCCTTAGCCTTACCATAACATCACTGCAGAGGCAACAGACAACCTAACAAAGCCCCATAAATCATTAAAAGCCTTCCATGAAAAACCACTCCAAGCCTCTCCACACCTCCCACTGAAAATGTACGCAAGCTCGGCCAAGACTATGAACCACCACGAAGAGTCTAACACCGCGGTCCCACCAGGGAGGCCCCACCCGAGCTTTATTACAAGCAGCCAGGAGAAAAAGGAATGTAGGAGCAAGGCTACACCAGTGATCGCCGCCATGGTCATCACCTTACGTTGTGCTTGTAGGAACTTTATGATTGGGAATACTGTCGCGTATGCAAATAGCTGTGGGATCATCCATGTTGCTACCTTACCTGCCCAAATGACGGATCTAGAAATTTTTATTACCACATCTGGACACTTTATGTATGTAGTCCTGTAATTTTGGAAAATTTGTGAATAAATACCTTTTAAATTACTATTTTTGCAAACACTTTTATTTTAAAGTTTGCGAACACCTATCTTATATTGAGTTTTAATTTTGATATCACTACCATTAGACGGATTTAGTCCAAATTTCCATTAGTGGGACCCACATTCAACAATTTCAAACAAAAGTAACTCTAATTACATATAAAAGACACCATTGAAACCTATTTTAAGCACTTTAATGCTACATCTAGTTAATTTAAACCCCATATTAATGCTTTTCACTTTTGATTTGCTAATTAACACCCAAATTAGATTAGGGTTTTCAATTTGGGGTATATTTTGACTGATGGTAGTGGTACCAAACTAAAAAAATCAATATAGATAGGGTAATTATTCACAAATTCTAAAGTAAAAGGTAGCTGTTCGCAAAAGTGGTAACTTAAGAGGCAGTTGACAGTAGTTGACAAAAATCCAACTTTAAACAATGTTGTTAAGGAATTTTAAATATGTTATTGTCAATCCAAATATCTTTGGACACTACGTTGCATGAAAACGAATATAGAAAGGTACAAGCACTAGGACACAGTTATATGGATGTCAAAACAGAATAAAGAACAAGACATGATTCCAACACTATACCCCATCTACGAAAAAATTGAGCAAAATTTACCTGCAGCCCTTGAAATAGCAGGAGTTTCTCCGATGAGGAGCAAAAGCGGGGTGGCGAAGATGTAGAGGGGGCTGAGTATAAGAGCTGTAGTGAAGAGGATCACCCAAGACCTTTGCAAGTAAACTCCAAGCATGTTCAGCTGTTTTGCCCCATATGCTTGCCCACATAATGTCTCCAACGCACTTCCCATTCCAAACTATTTATACCAAGTATAATTAAAACAATGACCCAAATAATAATAATTACGGATTATAATACAAAATTACAAATATGACGATGAAGAGTTGAAATGATGAATAAGGAAGCAATACAGAATCGAAAAACTTGGCAATTGGAAAGTATAAGGTAGCTAAGCAACATTTTACTATCTTATCTTTACGTTAAAAGTGTAACAAGTTTAGATAAGCTATGTTTGAACATGAATTTTCCTACTAGCCTTATATATGTTTGTACTTGTTGGGTTAGTGTAGTCCAACTCCTCAATAAGCATGTTGTGAAATTGGCGAAAAACAGTAAAAGATCCTAGAACTAGTAAATATTCATGAGACTTCTAGACACATGTGAAAATTTAAACAACATGCATGTCAGCATGTATGATGTGTGTACGTAGATGTGGACAAACAGAGTTTTATGAAGTAGGTAAATTTTAATGATATCTCATAGTGGCATTGAGACTCCAATAGGCAATGGTAGTTTATATTTTTTTATAATGCATGATACACAAAATATACCATTAAAATTTAAAGTTTCATAGAAAATAACCAACATACTTTGATCTGTATGATGCTCATATTTACGCCTGTCAATTCCTGATCCGACTTGACTCGATAACCCAACTTGACCCGATTTCAAACTCGTTTATTAAGAGAAAACCTGACTCGACCCAAAAAACTCGAAATTGATCCAATTTGATCCATTTATCATAATTTGTAATGATTCAAGCCATTCAAATTAAACCACTTAAATAAAATGACCCAAACAATTCGAAATTTGACTCGAATTCGACCCGTTGACCTGAATAAACAAGTCTACTCATACAACATGGGTATGTACGGTTGTAATCCCCTTTACAAATCTCTCTCTATTCAATATATAGTACTAGTACTAGCGTTTTCAAAATTAATAATTTAAAACTCAAAACAATCTCATTTATGCAATTTATGTTGGTCAATTTATTTTTTATATTCGGACCCCTCCTAACCTAACACCTCAGGCCCATCGATTAAGTATCGTAACGTTGTGGTTCTTACAACTCATCGTAAGAGAAAGAGATAGAAGATGAGATTTTTTTATGTAATCAAGTCTCTGCTTTCCAACTTGATCTATGCATTTCATTTTCTTGTTTAGTAGGGGAGGGATTGTGTGAATCATAAAAAACGTGTTTGCTGTCATCATCACAAGATTGATTAAAAAAAAAAGTACTTCGTACTAATCAAGTACGTATATTTTACACACAACTAGCCAATTTTTTTTACAACTATGATCAAATTAGTAATATGAAAATACGAGTTTTAATTGGTAATGGTTACGACTTACGAGTATACAACCATCACTTAATTACGAAACAGATCTATTATGATGTACTTATACAATCAATATCATTAATTAGTCATAAATTTCAAGGATACAAACAATATCTACGCACCACATTAGCCTTAAATTTTAATAACACAACAAATTTCTACACACATAAATGTCTTATACTACTAAGTACTACTCCTCCGTTTTTAAATACTTGTTCTATTTATAAAAATATAGTCTTGTGGGTACTTGTTAGAATCATTTCAATGAATAGATTATTTATTTTCAATTGTTAAAATTTATACTTATTAATAACTAAAGATATTATTATCAAAGATAAGCATCGACATACGTTTCCAAGAAAAATGGAGCAAATATTTTTAAAAAGAAAGAAATATACGAGAGAGTTGAATATGATCTTATTAGTTTTTTTTTTCCTTTTTTTTTCTTTTTATTTTTTTTCTATTTTTTTTTTAATAACAAGCAAACAAGTTTATTAAAAGGACAATACTAACACACCCACTGAAGTATAATTCCAATTCCTGGGCATGGACACGACACTAGTAGACACACAATGCTGGCAAATATAATCAGACCACCCGCTCGACGACATGCGACTATGGATACACTTACAAGTTACAAACACCAAAATCATAGGCAAACTTTTTTGGGTAGCGTTTGGGGGGAATAAGAAATTTCATCTTCTTGCCAGAAGAAAGTTGATCACCGAAAATTCTAAATTGCTTAATGAAATCAATATTACTAAAAAAGTACTACCTCACTTTTTGAAAGTCCCACTCACTTTGATCATTCTATCAATTATGGACTTATAGAATATAAAAAATTAGCATATGAGATCTTATTAGATTTTCCTTATTACATAGTATAAATTTTTTATATATTAACTTTTTATAATTTTTACTTATACATAGCTGAGGATATTCACGGTCAAAGATGTTTATTGGAGATTATACAAATGCAAAGTGAGTCGAACTTTTATTATATTGAATAATCATTGGTGTAACTGCTTTTAAAGTTTGTACGATGAGAGTTAGTCAAAAAAGGACACTAGCATAAAAAAATCTTTAAAAGACTACCTTTTGATTTAATTTGAATTATCGTGCATCAATTATTCATTTTCTACAATCTGTCTATCTAACCACTGTTTTAGATCACGCTAATTATGTATTTGATGAGATTTTAATTACTTCCTCCGTTTCAATATAATAGTATCATATGGAATTAATCACATCTATTAACTATTACTAAAATAAAACATTGATGATGTCATCAACTCTCATAAAAAAATTTCCCTCTAATTTTAACCTATGATGTCATTTTTTTTGGGGTCTTTTCTAGGTAGAAACTAAGACCAATTAGGTGTGAAATTTGAATTTGACATCAATATTGTTGTATATACTCCACACTACTTTTGAATATTCATAATACAACAATATTATATAGACATAGATATTGGAAGCTAATTATACACTTTTTTTTTGAACAAATTAATGAACATTTTTAAATTTTTTTTTAATAGTAAATACACATTTATTTAGCTTCCAATCAACGTATAAGCTTAATGAATTATACATTTATACAACATTAATATATTTAATCTAACCATCATTTTAGTATATTTTTTTTAATAACATAGTAAATATTACAATATGATGCAGCATTTTATAACTATTTTTTTAAAGTACATGTTTTTTTTTATATATTTATATAACAATTTTTTTAAAAATAAATAACGAGCCAAATCATATTAGAAAGTTATCAACAACAAAAGATAAAAAATTATAGAAAAATTACTAATCAACCACCGTGCAACGCACGGGTACTAATCTAGTAAAATAATAAAAGAAGGATATTTGGAATTTAACATTAAAGTAAAAAATAATTCATAAATAGTTTTGCCTTATTAAATTGCATAAATTAATGGAGTAATTTCTTTACTTTGAGTCATGTCATCAATTCACAATCAATTAATTTAACCAAAAAAGAATTTAATATGTATAAAATAAGAAATAAAAGCTAAGTTAAAACTTAAAAGTGGAATACATTCAATATGAGTAGATTTTTTTTAAACGTCCGAAATAGTATATAAGACTAATAAATTGAAACAAAGGGAGTATCATTTAAGAATAAAATTTTTAGTTACTAAGTCGCACCTAGTAACAAAGACTGAGAGTTTGTGTATAATAAGGCCGTGTGTTTATTTGCAATGCTCAAATAACACATCCGATCCGGACAAAAAATTAATAAAAAACAGTAAAGTGTAGTATGTAGAGTTGTTAGAGATGCGATATCTTACGTATTACTCCATCTATTTTTAAATACTTATTTCATTTCTATTTTTTGCATTATTTATTTGTACTACTTTAACTAAAGTTTGTGATTTATAAATATATTGTTGTTTAAGATATCTAAGATACGATCAAATCGATCTCTAACAAGAGTTGTTACGTTAAATACGTACCAGTAAACCAAAGGAGAAGCCAGCAATAACGGAGTTCTCGACCGAGAAGGCGGCGAGGTCAAGGGTGTTAAGTTGACCGGTGACGGTGATGGAGATGGCGCCAAGGGAGTACTGGCAAGTACGCATAAAAGTAGATGGTGCGGCAAGATACATGGTTTTCTTCAACTCCATACAAAACACATTGAAAAACATTTTTGGACTTGTAATTTGTGGAATATCCTCCTCTTCATAATGATCGCCTATAATTCTTGTTCTTAAATTTTGTGTTACTGTTTGATCATCATCGGTAGCGGCGGCGACAGTGGCGGCGGAAGAAGATAATAGGGGCTGATTGCCACTGTTATTATCCATTATTGCTCAAGATGGCCGAGGAGGGTGATGGTTGGTAGATTGGTAGAAAAGAAGATTAAAAAGGACTACTAATAATATTGTGTTGCGTTAAATTTATTTGAGGGAATATTTATTGTATTGGATAGATATAGATGAAATGTCACTTTATTGTTTACACTATTGGGATGGTACATTATTTGGCTAGATAATAAGTGCCAAATCATTGCTGCCAAAATATAATAATTGTCCAATATGGCAATATAAGATCAATGCATTGATTGCGTCATTAATGGTGATAAATGACTCTTTAATACGGAGTAATATTTGTCCATTTCACTATTTTTAATCGATAATATTTTTAAATTAACCCGATTTATATTAGTTTATTGTAGACCTGGCAATCTTGATCCAGACCCGATGACCCGACCCCCATGACCCGAAATCGACCCGAAACCAGTGACCCGAAATTGACCCAAAATCCGAATTAACCCGACCCGACTCATACCCGACCCGAAGTGGAACTGACCCGACCTTGACCCGAAACCCGAAATGACCCAACCCGAAATGACCCGACCCGAGATGACCCGACCCAAAGTTGACCCGAGACCCAAAACGACCCGACCCGAAGTTGACCCGAGACCCGAAGTTGACCTGACCTGAAAATGACCCGACCTTTAACTTCTTTTAGTAAATAATTATATATGTTACTACCCCCGTTAACTTTTATTTGCAATTTTGGAATATTTTATATCTCACAAATAATACCCCAAAGTTACAAATAAAAGTTAACGGAGGTAGTATAAAAAGTTTATATTAGGAAATTATACATTAAAATAGACCCAACAACATCTTACATTACTACATTGACTTTCATATAATAGCTAAAAAAGATGGTCAAAGTGAGATGTGTGAATAGTGCAAAATGTCAAATCGTTAAGAGTAATTTGGGACGAAGGGAGTACAAGAATAATTCAAAGAAATTATTACAACAATGACAATGATAATAAGAGTACGTATTAAAACTAAGATCAATAAGAGAGTGAGGTATAACTCAATTAGTTCTTCTTAGTTTCAGGAGATCATGAAAGTGATTCTTAGCCTAAAGTTCTAAACACACACAAAAAAAAAGTTAATAAAAGTCAAACAATTACTATAATCCATGAAAAAAATAGCCTTAATAAATATAGTGAGTTTTTCGTCAATAAATAAATAAATATATATACAGAGTTGAATTTAACCCAATGAATCACCCGAATATGACTCGACTAGAAGTTGACCCGACCCGAAGTTGACCCGGAAATTGGACCCGAAAATTGACCCGACCCGAAAATTGACCCGACCCAAACTGACTCGACCCAAACTTGACCCGACCCGAACTGTTGACTCGATACCCGACCCGACCCGATTATCAGTCGACCCGAAATCAACCCGAAATGACCCGACCCGACCCAAACTTGACCCGATAATCTTTTGACCCGAACTTGACCCGACCCGAAATGACCCGACCCATACCCGACCCGAATGACCCATTTGCCAGGTCTAGTTTATTGTGGACTACTAATATTAAGGTCACTATGTTTGAATGTCATCTGTATTTAAATTAAGGTCATTATATTGATAAAAAGATCACTATGTGAATATGAAAGTTATTGTGATATAATGAAGGTCATAAAAAATTAATATATTTTATTATGAAAATTTTAATACATTAGTTGATATAAATAATAGAGATCATTATGTTAAAATTAAAGTCAATATTTTCAACATAACATGGGTTGGTACGTGTGGGTTTCAAACCCGCAATAATATTATTGCGAACCAAGTCCACAGATGTTTTAATAAAGGTCATTGTATTAAAACTAGAGTCACTATGTTTAACATAGTGTTAGTTAGTACATGTCTAACATGGACCTAAGCTCCATAAATAATACTCCGTATTATGGTGAACTGGAACCATGGAAGTATTTTCCATTATCACCGGAGAAAAAAGCACAATTAAAACATATATTTAATACACAAAGTATATATTAAAATTATATTTATGTAATATGAGTAGTTAGATTGTTAGGGTCTGTTCACATTTACTAAAGTGAGCTGAATTGAAGTGAACTGATTGGAGCGGAAGTGAATTGAGCTGAAATGAATATTTTATAAGAGAAGGAAATTAAGAGTTGAACTGAATTGGACTGAATTGAAATTAATTTAAAAGTGAACAGGCCCTTAGATTACGGAATTTATGATAATATTGTTCCTGAAATTCCTGAAAAATCATTTTATTTTCAACTTAGGTGTTCTGAGGAAATTTCCACACCCAAGATATATTAATATTTTCAAATTGATGGCCACTAGACTAACTGACTGAGTACTTACTAGTACTTAATTATTATTATGTAGTATTTTTTAGTAATTGATATAATTTTGTCTAAAAATTAAGATTAAGATTTACAACCATTAAAAGACCTCAAACCAAAATTTTATCTATGTTAGAAACATTAAAAATCGCCTGGTTCGAATATCAAACATTATGCAAAGTAATTAATTTTGTTACTTTATTTACGAGTAATTTCTAGAGTTCCTATGATTTCCCTGCATCTGTGATCAGAAATCACATTTTCTTTGATTAGATCTATGACTATTTTAGAGTTTGACCAAATGAAGTTTATTATACGGGCCCAATTCGGTAAATACTGAAATTACTAGAGAATATTCAAGAATACCCTTAAAGCAAAAATATTTAAGAATTGTACACATCATGCATATTCTCCTACAAATATTGGTCTACATAAAACAATCAGGTAGTACCAAGCTAAGATTGGTCTAGTGGTAAGATTGCCACCTTCTAACCTTGAAGTTGAGCCTGGGTTCAATCCCTACTAGAGATACTTTGAGAGTAGAGATTCCTTACCCTTACCCTTCCCCTTACTCTTAAAGTGTCCGATCCGTTGAGGTACGATCAGTATTGACTTGATTGTCGAGAGGGCCTTTCTCGAAAACACTCCCGGGTACGTAGTTGACTCTCTCTGCCAGACGAGTAGTCTAGGAATTCTGTTAACATCAGATTCCTCTTTGTTCTAAGAAAAAATAATCCTAATAACTTAAAATTTGATGAAAATCCTAAGAGATAGATTTGGTATATATTCATCTAATATCCTCAACACAATTTGATCCCATCAACTATCTCTAACCTATCTAAGCTATATCTTATAATGCGTATCTAATTATTTACTCCCTCCGTCCCAGTTTACTTGCAACATTTTGACTGGACACGCTTACCGATGCACATGTTTGACCGTTGATATCTTTTATTATAAATTTATATAAGTTATAAAAAGTTTATATTAAGAAACTATACATTAAAATAGACCCAACAACATCTTACATGATTACATTGACTTTCATATAATAGTTAAAAAAGATGGTCAAAGGGAGATGTGTGAATAGTGCAAAAAGTCAAACCGTTGCAAGTAATTTGGGGCGGAGGGAGTATATTGGACGACTACGGAGTTAGGAATATATATATATATATATATATATATATATATATATATATATATATATACAAAGTGATTTTTTTCAACGCTCAACAAAACAGTAACATGAAAGAAGAATGGCGTTTAGAATTGGCATAGAATCAGGCAAAGCCCTAAAATATCCAGCTTGGATCCGAGCACAGAGGCTTGGTCGGCAAATATGTACCTACGCTGTAGTGTCGTTAGAGGGCCCGACTCCTCCGGTTTATACTCAGATTGACAAGTGTGGTGGTTCGAACCGAAATTGGAACTGCAAGTTTTCGAATTGTGTGAGCAAAGATTTGTTGTTTGAAAACCCAACCAAAGATCACTTAATACTAATACAAATTTATTGTGCTGCATTGGGGTTCATGACTAAAGATTGGCTCATTGGCAGCAGAGTTTTGGAGATGAAGGACATCCCTATTAAAAAAATGTGGCTTCTTTTGTGATCTAGACTTATATCTTTTGAGCAAGGACCGCCTACAAATGCAGCACACGGGTGGATCAACATCAAGACCAATATTATCCCAGAAACCAAACCCGAATGTAAGAGATGCGAGAGATTGAAGATACTAGAGCGAGCGGTTAGGGAACAAAGGGAAGTAGCTTCGAAAATAGCTAGGAATTGCACCGAATGCTCGATTTGCTGGGAGGGATGGGATAAAGATGTACCCGAATTAAAAGAGCAAAGTATCCGGGTTTTAAAGACATGTGGTCACAAATTTCACAAGGATTGCTGGCTTTCTTGGTGTAAAGCGGCCATCAAGGTCTCTTGTCCTAATTGTCGTGCCGAGGTGCATCAATTGATATAGGCATAGCTCCTCTTTAGGTTAAGGTTGCTATAGGCATAGCTCCTCTTTAGGTTAAGGTTGCGCCAGAATTCGTTTTCAAAGTGTCACACCATCTTCCTTTGATTAAACAAACACATTATTCATTATATTTGTAGTTATTGAAACACTTATTTTACAATATAGAGTACACGATAATATTGTTTCCGAGCTAGAGTCAAATTCCTAATATTATTTTTAATTTATTTTATTTTCAAGGTAAGTGTTCCGAGGGAATCTTTACACCCAAGTTATATTTAGTGAGGATTGATGACCACTAGCCTGAGTAATTAATTTTGTTATTTATTGATTTGTTTTTATTCTAACAGCATAAATTCTTTTGTGATTTAAATATAAATCATGACGATCAATCAGAAAAATTGCATGCAACATGCATGTTCTGCTATCGACTTTCTTTAATTTCTAGAGTTCCTATTATTTCCCCGCACCTGAAGTACTCTCTTTGCATTGTCCCTTATTTTTTTTTTGCCCCATTGTAAATATATGTGTTTAACTTTGAAAACTTTGACCGTGGATACTCATTAATTTATACTCCCTTCATCCCTTTATTAGATTCCTATTTCTAGTATTTATTCCTCACATAATAGAGAAGTAGGAATCCAATTAAGGGACGAATGGAGTAAGTGATAATATTTTCACATGAGATCTTGTTTAAAACGTTTCATTAAATATTTTATTTATATTATAATTGTACGGGATAGTGCCGACACTGTCAATAGTTAGCTACACATAAACATTTTTTACCGCTAATCAAGTCTTGATTAGCATACCGGCTTAACATCCATGTCGGCCATTTTTTGGCCACGTAGGCACC